TTTTTTTTTTGGGGGCGATTTAGCTAACTGATACACACGGCGAGGATTTCCAGATCTAGGAAGAGAAATATATAGGCAGCGCGCCGAGCTAGGTAGCTTTTGGCGAAATTGAAGTTGAAGAATGGAGTAGTAACGCTGCGGCTGCAGGTCTGGGGCTTCTGTCGTTTGACTTGTTCTTGTTCTTGCCATCCTGCTGTCATTCGTTTTCTTTCTTCTCTATCTTTGAAAATTTGAGAATAAGATTGGAATCCCTCGCTATGAGCTATAGCTAGATGATTGTCTGTGTATTTTGCAGGTGCCCAGGGATAGTGGAGACGCGCGATCGAGCTGGGTTAACTGTGAGACTACCCTAATTAACCACTTTCTGTTCGAGTCTGGGCTAGGGATTCGGATCTGAGTGGGGGTGTGGAAAGGAAATCAAGTGTGCAGGTTGCATGCAGTATTTAGTGGTCTGGACTTTGCAGAAAGTGGTATTGGTCGGCCTGAGTATTGATGAAGGAAGAGAGGGAGGAGGGGGAATTACGTATCCTTTGATATCTTTGGGGGGCTCTTTAGGTTTGTGGTAGAAAAGAGAAGTGTAGTGAACTGGAGAAGCTGGTGGCGTCTTGTATCGATTCGCGCACGAGGGACGGAGATTTACTGCGAGATTTCTTCTTTTAGATAGTAGATACTAGATCCTGGCTGGCAAGGACTCGAGATGAGGTATGTAGAATAACCGGCGATCCAGCAGGCTTTGCAATCGATGGAGTTGATCTTCGGATCCGCTGAGACGTGAGGGCCCTAGTAGTTGGATCATTCTACCTCGTGCATGCAAAAGAGGGTCATGGATAGCCAGTCCTACTCCCCCCTCCCCCACCCCTTTTTTTTTTCGTTCGAAAGTACCGTTTCCAAAATAGGGGCTTGACATATGTTTTTTTTATTTTTTACTTCAATTTGCACATTTCAGAGGCTCTATGCTCATTTTTTTTATACAGGCTCTGCCACTTTTAAGTTTGTTGTGATTCGCTGGGTTGCTGTCACTGCAAGAGCCTTCGCTTACTGTCGTCAAACTCACTTTGTGCTTCACCAACCTCCCTCGTTCCATTGTCACACTTGTCTTTGCCGTCAATAATCCTTTCTCTAAATCGAGCGCTCTAACCTCCAGAGTTTTACGAAAGAGATAAAATCCGTCAGAATGATTATTATTAGGTCGAGAGCGAAGATTCTTTTGTGCACGGGTGAACTCTCCTTACTGACTGTCGACTCCGCCAGCAGGTCTTCCTTGTACGGATTGCTGAGTTTGATTTTCTGGAGTCGCACTTACTGAAGCGTGGAGTTGGATTGGTGAAATTGGGGGAATGCGGGTTATATACATGCTCCTTAGAAAGCTCCGGATATGGCTAGAAAGGAAGAAGAGAGTCAACTCCTGCTGTCCAACACTACCTAGCGTGATATTCAAAGTATTGTGTTTCCAGGTCCACTTGAAAAAGGTTTATGAGCTTGAGCTGATTGAATTAAAACGTCTTCCTGCTTAGACCCACTTCGTAGGTATCCAGGTCAATACGAGGAAAGGGGCCTCTCGCTTAAAGCTAAACATACCTCTCCTGAATGCCAAGTCTCAGTAGCGAATGCGGCATGCACAGCTGCTGAGCTACGAGCTCACTCGATTTCCTCAGGTTTTGACGACAGGACAACACATGTCAACGAATCTGGAGCCATTATTTGCAAATCCTTCTTGATGCGGCGAATCACCAGACTCCTCCTCGGCATCCGGGCGACCGTGGAAGCGGCTACGCCTTGACTATAAATGAAGTCCGGATCCTAAAAACTTCAACCCATCGGCATCGATTTGCGGCATACCGTAACCGCAGCGCAATCTCTCCTCGTCGCTCAATCCTGATACCTGATCGGCCGTGATCAAGATCTTGGCTTGCGTCCACAGAGCATCGATCATCAGTGACCTGCAAGTCAAAGCGCGGGCTGACTGCCGACGCATTTTAATGACCCCTGACGAGGAAGCCTTTTAGCGCTCGGGAGGAGAAAGTTCCTTGGTTTTTTAATTATTAAGGGAGCTTCTACGCCGATCCTCTCATGTTTGGGGGCGCTATTATCAAGCCACTAGCTGGGAGTCATATAATAGGAAGGTGCAGCCAAGCACTTCTCAGAGACTCTTCAAACGTAAGTCCATGATAACGCAAAGACACATAACAAGTATCTTGAATGTGCTATTATAAATCTTCTTTCTTCCCTCGTTTGTCCACATTGACGAGAAAGCTAGCTGAGATTGAGATTTATAGCTTTGTAAAACCTTAAGACCTTACCAAAGCATGTCGAGATCTTGCCGGGCTAAGTGCAATAGCAGGTAATGACAAGGCAATTTTAAAGCCGGCTTCCGACTCGGCAGAAGGCGCGTGTAGCACATACAGCAATTGGAATGGCGTAAAGACTGCTTCGAAGACGGTGGACAGTTTCGAAGCTTTTAGCCATAGGGAGGAGCGATTTATTTGTAAGAGAGACGGGGGGGGAAAAGGAGATACTTTCAGACTTGTCTTACGCATTCACATATTCATAGGTAGGCACTTTTTATAGTTTATAATTTGCATATCGGCGGTGCAATTAGACGTTGCGACAAGGTCTTCGTAACGAGTTTTGTTACTGATTATCGCTTACATGTATAACATTTGGCAATTGCTTTGCTCTTCTGGGACTCGTAAGCAACGTGCTTTGTTGTATAGAGTGTGCTAGGTAAGGTTGACGGCTAGGATATTTGAAACTTTTACAAAGGGGTTGATTCAAAGCAAAGAATTTGGTCCATAGGAAATAAATGCTTAAATGTGTTTTAATATCGCTAATCGTCGGTTAACGTGAATTTAATTTGTAAAAATCCCGACCTAGCGTAGCCAGGACGGCACCACCAAGGCGGGACAGTATTGTTTGCCCTATATAACCGACAGAAGATCAATCAACCATTACATCGTAATTATTTCTGTATGAAAAGATGCACCTTACTGAGTTTAGTCGTAGTCAATTAATCATATTTTAATCTTAAGTCGTTATTCTATTTTTATGCAAAGTTAAAGTAGTAAAAATGGTACTGTTGATGTACTTTTCAACGTTACTAGTCCGTGCGCTGAATAAGCGAGGAGAGTCAACAACGCCCTTCTCGAGCTCGAAAGCAATCGACTTCGAAGACGAGAAAAGGGAATGCGATCAAAAAGAACCGATAATGACCTAGTAGCTCTTTATAATTGCGATTCTAAGCTTAAGGATAGCGTTGATATAAGTTGAAGGGCGAGGGAAAGTACAATATGTTACGATATTTACTATCAGGGGTTGCCGTGCTGAATAAGCGAGGAGCACGAAAATCGGACTTCCATCAAAACCCTTTGAAAACACTTTTTCTATACTATCAACTTTCATTTAATAATTATTTTCTGTCTTAATAAAACATAATAGATGATCTCTCGACGATTTATGTAACATATTTTTAATCGGAGTTGTGGTTGTTGAGATATTTAAGGCGAACAAGTAAAATTTAGTTCTTAGACATAATTCTACTACTTTTTAATATATTGACTCGCAAAAAATGTATGCATCTTTATATCTATAATACACGTTTGTACAGCAATATTTTTTGAGCATGAAGAGTTTTATTTTTATTTTTTCATATTAGTAGTTGTAATTTGATAAGTGTTCTAACGGAACTGTCCCGCCTTGGTGGTGCCGACCTGGCTGCGCCATGTCGGATTTTTTATAAATTAAAGTCAAGGTAACCGACGATTATTTATATAACGGATCCGAACCAGGTACTCAAACGCGGAAGGTATCGCATCAGAATGCGGATGCGGATAATTTATCAGCGCAACTTCTGCTATTAATAATTCGAGACTGCCAGACAATGATCTAAATCGAGGAGGCAAGAAATGGAAAAGTTCAGTTGCTTGCGGTGATACTGGAGATTTGTGCCTGCGGGCTGTGCGAATAATGCCCATGTCAGGGCGCGAGGCCAGACGGGTAGGTACGAGTCAATTCGGTCGTGTTGGATGAATGCTTGAATGCTTGAATGCTGTGCTGTGCTGTGCTGTTTGTGACGATGGTGATGCGCTGTCGAGTATTCTGGGTTGACCTCTGCTATGCTTTGCTTCCCAGTACCGGTATAGAACTGACCCCAAGGTTCTGTGGGGACTTGAAATTGTAAAACGTGCCGACACGAAAGATTCTTCCTTGTAACCCCAGCAGCAGCAGCAGCAGCAGCAGCAACAACAGCAGTGGCGATAATGATTATTCAGGGGGAAGCAGACGATCAATACCAACGTCTTCGAAGAGCGATATCCTTTGTTGTCTTTGTCGCAGTCAGAGTCACGGGATCTGGTCGGCCTGGAAAGCCCTGGCGGCGGGTAGCTTGTTGTAGTGATCTCCGAACTCTACTTTACTAAGGACTGTACTTACCATACCCTACTGATACTACCACCCCCAACTCTCCCTCCGCCTTGCATCTCCGGGACCACCGACCGACCTTCGAGTCCATACCCTCGATTTCCACAACCCTTCCCCTTGAGTCCGTGGAAAATATGAACGTTCTGCAACCAGCACACCCGTCGTACTTCAACGCTCATCAAAACCTTGGTAAGGTCCTACCCGCCATGCTTTCAAGTGTCCCCTAAAGCACAAATATTCCCCGGTTTCTTGGAGCAACTAATAATACCCCGGATAACAATACTGAGACTGATACTGATTCCCCGACAGCTTCACCACACACTCCCAGTCCCAGAATGAGCCAACGAAAACGAAAAGCGGAGGACGATGGCCACAACGATGATAGTATGTCCATTTCGCCGCAGGCCTCCCCCGCATTTGCCTCTCGACCTCTTGCACGGAAAAAGGTCAGAACCACCGAAGTTACCGGCCGTCCTCTCGCTCTCCCTCGTCTCCTCGAAACCTTAGATGCGGATTCCCTACGAAGAGTGCTGCAGACCATATGCGAAAGACATCCCCAGATCGGATCAGAGGTGGCTACATCGGCTCCCAGGCCCTCGGTGCCTGCAGCGGTCGAGGTTCTGTCACAATATCAAGACAAGCTACGAGAGGCATTCCCTCTAGGAGGTAGCGCTGGATCGGACTACGCCTACAATAGAGTCAGGCAGCAGCTGAACAATCTGATCGATGCTTTGACTGACTTCACACCTCATTACCTTCCACCCAACGAGCCCCAGCCTACCGTCTCCCTCACTTACCTGGACCACGCAACGAGAGTCATCCATGAACTACCTGATTGGGACAGCCAATCTTACAGATACCACAAGGACAACTCTTACGATGAGATCTCGAGGGCTTGGGCGCTGGTGGTCAGTGAGGCATCGAAACGGGGAGGGGGATTTCAGCTCCATTCTGGCGGATGGGAGCAACGGCTGTCGAAGCACAACGAGCAGAGCGGAGGTCGAATGCAAGTTGCGATCAATGCTCTCGATTCGAATCTTGGGTGGATGGGGGGAATGGGAGGAGGAATGGGCTCGGGAGATCCAGGCTCGATCCGCAACCAACTATTTAACGGGACCTACGGAGCTGGCAGTGGTAGTACCATGCCTGTCTTTGTTGGACTCTAGTAGCCGCAGACTAATCGTTTGTGTATGTGGCAGCAAAGCAATATATGAGCGACGGAGGGAAGATTGTCACCACGGAGGCATAGAAGGCGGCATTTGGCATCACGGCGTATTGTGTTTACTGCGCGGATACTTTGCCTATGACAGCACTTACGAACCTAACGAAGATTCCCCCTTTCTTTGATGTTTCGTCGTGGAGCATGCTTGCGGAGTTTTTGGGCCGGGGAAGGAATTGATATTGCGCATTTCTGCGATGGCTGATTTTCGGCGTACACTCTTTTTATCGGAGCGATGAGCACGTAGCTTTTAGACTACGCCTAATAGAATTGGGATTTGGGACCGCTACACGGGTATCACACGGATGTCCAAGAATATCCGAGAAATTAAACATGCAAAATGTTGGTGATGATCTGCAGCTTTTGGTTTCTTGGGTATGTAGCTCACGTGACTTTGACTTGAGTCCCTGTGACTTTCGTGTTGGGATGAAGTTCATCGACCCCGAATTACGCGTAAAGCTTGCCACCCGCACGCGCCAGCCTGCATCATCAACCACAATCAGTGCGAGACTGGATTCACTTCCTCTTGCTAGCCTACCATCTCCACAATGCCTGCGTATGCCATCAGCCCTTATTTCTCTCTCAAGCGAATGCTAATCAAGCCAGGCCCGGCGACCAACACACCAGCACCGGGGGCAAAGCAATAGCCAATCCCTTCGACCCAGTAGTCCCCCAGATCTCAAGCTACACTGCCCAAGAAATCGCAACGTTGCAATCCCGACTGGAGAAGCAGCTGGGTCCGGAGTATATATCCAACCGGTCCGGCCCCAACAACCAGAAGGTCCACTACCTCGCGGCGGAGAAATGCATCCAGCTGGCGAACGAAGTCTTCGGGTTCAATGGCTGGTCGAGCCAGATCATGGACATCCAAGTGGACTTCGTAGACGAGAACCCTACAACTTTGAAAGTCAGCTTGGGGTTATCGGTTGTGGTGCGCGTTACGCTGAAGGATGGGACGTACCATGAGGATATCGGCTATGGACACATGGAGCACGCTAAGGGCAAGGCGGCGGCATTCGAGAAGGCCAAGAAGGAGGGGACGACGGATGGATTGAAGAGGGCGCTGAAGAACTTTGGGAACGTGCTGGGGAATTGCCTTTATGATAAGGACTATTTGAAGAATGTTACGAAGATAAAGGTTGGGGCTACGAAATTCGACCCGGATAAGCTGCACCGGCATTCTACGTTCTCTTCGGTGAAGAGAGAGCCGGAGATAAAGCAGATGGAGGAAAAGCCTCAAACTATGGATGCTGGCGTCTCCAAGTGCACAGCTGGGAGGGAAGGTAAAAACAGCGCCGCCGACAGTTCAGTATCTGAGGACACTATGGAGGACGAATTCGGAGGTTTGTGGTACCCTCTGCTCATGAATATCAAGCCACTAACAGTTCCCAGATTTTGACGAGGCAGACTTCGGCGTTGCGGATCCGGATTCTCATCCTGACGAAGTGACCTTACCAGAACCACCTCCGGCAGCTTCACATCGTTCAAACGATGTTCGCAACAGTAATGGGCCCCCAAATGCAGCCAACGCACCCCAGAATCGTCCGCAACCCCCCGTCAACAAGCCACAGCCTAGAGCACCTTCTGTACGGCCAGCAAGCGCAGCACCGCCCACAAACAACAACATGCCTCCGCAACCTCAGACGCCGAACAGCGGGTTTTCCAGGTCCAATAGTGGAGCCCAAAACATGCGCCCGCCTCCTGATGCCAACGCCCAGTCACGACCGATGCAACCACCTCAGCCAAATCCTATAGTAGGCAGAGTCCTCAACCAACCCAGCCGTAATGGAGCAATCTCAACACCTGTCTCCCCAGCTCGTCTTAACAAACCTTCTTCAAATGATGACACAAACTCATTACCACCCCAAGGCCAAGGCTTTTTTTCCGCCAGAGCAGCAACTATGCTTCCAGAAGGAGCCCAAGCGGACGCAGTGGCAGCGGCACCCATCCCAGCGCACCTACCCGTCTTCAATCCTCACGCGGAATCTCCCTCCATCAGAAAAACCCCCGGCGTGGACCACAAGTCCTCCAAACCCCTTACTCGTGATCTTAAGCACGTACCGAGTTCCAGCCAGGCCGTAGCAGCTACGATTACCAGGCCGAACATCACGAATCCGCAAATGGACAATGCGAGGAGGATTGGGGCGCCAGCGAGCCCAAGTCCGAGGGTGTTTGGAGCGGGCGCTTACAAGCCTCCGACGAAGAGGCCGGTAGATTCTAGGGCGCCGTTACATGAATTGACTTCGAACGGGGCGGTTGGCGGGGATGCTGGGGGTGATGTGAAGAGGCAGAGGATGAACAGTTGAGCTTTAGCTTGGAGTATATGGGGGAAATATGGGACGAAAGGCGTTGCGAAAGGCGTTGGGATATCGTTACCTGAGCGGTGGGATTTGCTCCGGCGTATCGATTGGGGGTGGGGACTTCAGGCTCTTGCGAGACAAGTCTCTAGTTGCTGGTTTTTTGATGGTATGCTTTGCAGAGCAAGATACGAAGAACACTCGCACGTCTGGCATAGCAGAGGATAGATGTTGGAGAATTCTTGGGGATGGGGAGGAAGACAATGAATCACTGTCATAACCTGATACGGTCGTCACATGGCATGTGCTGGATTGCGGACGGACGCTTTCCAAGCACATGGCTACATTCTCATAAATGCAAACTAAACAGACGGCCGCAATTATTGTTTAGAAGTTTCTTCTAACCTCTGAGCAGCTCGACTGAGAGCACATGACCCAAAAATACCTGGTTCGCCCAACTCCACCTATGCACCATTGCCATCCGAGCCCCGGGTAACTACCAACCAAAGGGCCTGTGTTTCCTCGTAACACATCCATACCCAGACGCGACTTCACTTCACAATTAGGACAGCACTAGGTGCCAACCCAGCTTCCTTCAGAGACTGCCCAAAATCGATGCTGCTGAATGTCTTCTTGGGATACGTCATGGTGAAGCTCTCGACCGCAACACCCCCATTATTCGTCTCCAAAGTCTGAGCAACCTCGAACAAAGTCGTCTCGGCGGGGAAAGTCTTCATTACAACCCCCGTGACGGTCTGTAATCTCAATCGAGCATCTGTGACGGCTTTCTTTGGTGTGGAGCTGGACGCGGCTTGGGCCGCTGCAGCCGCAGCGAGGGATGGATCGGGAGGAGGAGCCTTGCCTTCGCGCTCGGCCTTTTGCTGTTCGGCCTTGAGACGACGAGCTTCCTTGTCGGCGGCGATCTTCTCTTGGATGCGGCGCTTCGCGGCGAGGTCGTCGACTTTCTCCTGGCGCTTCTTTGCGGCAGCCTTGATCTGCTCCTGCTTGGCCAGGTTCTCCTTTGCGTCTTGGACTTCCTTGGTGGCCTTCATTCTGATTTTCTTTTGGAGGACAGTCAGCTTCAAGCTCGTGTCCGTAAATGGGGGCAGGCAAAAGATATACCTCGTTTGCCTTGGCCTCCTCTCTGTCTTGGATGGCCTTCAAAGCCTTTCGTTCCGCAGCTTTCTGTCTCAGCTCTTCCAACTTCTGCTTCTTCTCCTCTTCGGTCAGAGGCGCAAGCTCTTCCGCGGACTCTGCGTAGTTCTCATGCCCACTGTTACCCAGTCAGTACCAGGATTACCCCGCTATGGAGCACTACAGGAAGAGCACCTACGTTCTCTCTCCATGGGCTTGCGCTTGCATCATACTCCGCAGCTTCTTCCCGCAGTCCTCACACACCATCGACTTAGCTACCTCGCCAGCCTCCAGGGGCTTCGCTTCGATCGACTGGTTTCCCTCCTCGTCGTCTGCTTCCGCGGGCTTGCTTATCTCCTCCCACGATTTGTCCTGGTTATCTTCTAGCCATTGCAGAGCTCCTTGGACTGTGGCAGGTGATTTGTTAGCTGTGGACATGTGAAGAGGTGTAGATACAGGAGAACTTACGGCCGCCGGTCTTCTTAACTGCCAGCTCTGCTCTCTGAGCATCAAAGCCCATACCCAGGAGGACTTCCAGATCGTTGGCCATAATGGAGGATCTGGATAAATTTGATGGTGAATATGGTTGGGAAATATATCCAAGTTGAAGGTATTTGCAGAGTGTCGGAACTTGTTGGGATTGAAGAGGGCGGATTAAATAGCGTCAAGGATAGGTCGGTCCAGTTTGGAAGTGAATGTCTCCGTAGGTAGCTAAAATTCCGTATTCCCCCCAGTCCCAATGACGAACTAATCTTGGCTATGAGTGGATCCCGCTTCCGCCGCTTCCATCGCCTCCGCCACTCCACGTCTCCGCTTTTCCGCCTCTCCGCCCTCCGCCCTCCGCCCTCCGCCCCTCAGCTCTTCCGCTCTCCGCCCCTCGACTCCTCCGCTCCCTTTGCCGTCACCACCTGCAGAGGCCCGATATTGCACACGGTCACAACAGTGATTCAGAAAGCGACCACTTTCTCACCGACGACTTTGACGGCGACAATACTAACAAACAATTAAAACCAGAGTCCAAGCATTTTCCTCTTTCTCACTCACTCTCTCCCCCTCAGCGCCAACTTCCTCTTTATTCAACCATCACCAAGTCCTTCCATCTTTGTCCGCTTCACGTCGCTTCGCATCAGCGAAATCCAACACTCGACTTGACTTGACTCGACTCGACTCGATTGAAGTTCACAGCTACCCAGCTCCTCTGCCAACTTCAGTACCCTACACCTCCCTCAACCTGCCATTATGTCTGTCGAGATTGATCCCAGCGAGCTGGCCTTCACCCGTATGTCGGCTTTGCCATTGCGCCCAAGGCCTATCTATCTAATCAAGGGAACCAGGGCCATTTACATCCGAGGTGTCCCAGTCACTGAAGATCCGCAACCCTAATCACACGCCTGTTGCGTTTAAGGTATGCGCCCAAATCTTCATCGCTGCATATGTACGGACTCGCTGACCAAATCCGATCTGCAGGTCAAGACCACTGCCCCGAAGCAGTACGATCCTCCCTTGCCACGCTGTCTCCGAATGCTTGTTGACAAAGTTACAGATACTGTGTGCGCCCCAACTCTGGAAGAATCGAGCCTGGCAAGGAAGTTGAGGTTACGGGTAGGTGACTCGGCTGGGAAAGCTCCGCTGGCTGGATTTCAATACTGACCAGGACCGCGCAGTTCTCCTCCAGGCCATGAAGCAAGAGCCTCCGCTCGATGTCAAGTGCAGAGACAAGTTCCTGGTCCAGTCCGTGGCAATCACCGCCGATAAAGAGTTCAACAACACCAGCGCCATTGTAAGAATTGAACGTCCTTACAGGGTATATCTACTGACAGTGCGGAGTGGCAGCATGTTGACGAAGCCGAGAGATCAAGCGTTCAGGAGAAGAAGATCCGGGTCGTCTACCTTGCCCAGGGAGGCGCTTCAGCTGCTACGCTCACACCCGTGAAGAATGGCGGCACATCTCGCAGCTCTGTAAGGCGAACCTACATCTTCAGAATCCTGCTAACGGACCTAGATCAACACCCCCGAGACGGCTCCTCCAGCATACGGCACGCAACGGTCGCCCTCCCCAGAACAAGCTGCATTCACGCCTGAACCTCGCCGCTCGGCTGCCGGAACATCAAAGTACGATACCAAGACTCCTACCGCCAAGTCCTCTTCTTCGAACCTGGCTTCGTCCGTCCAAGATGCTGTTGGGAACGCTGCCCCGATGTCCTACGAAGATATGAAAGCCAAGCTGGCAGAAGCTCAAGCTACGATTGCCAGCTACGCACAAGAAGGGGGTATTCGAATGCGCAAGGTAGCCCAAGGAGAGACGAGCAACGCAACCGTCAATGACGTAGCCCACCATGTGCAAGGAAATCAGGGTGTACCTCTCCAGATCGTTGCTGCGCTATGCTTAGTTAGCTTCTTGCTGGCCTACGTGTTCTTCTGAGCACGTCTCATGACGAAAGAGGTTGTACGTTAGGAGGAGAACACACGAGCAGATCAGACGAGCAAAGAAAGCGGTATTATGGTGGACAGCACATGGCAGCGAATGTAAGGGCACGCAAAGGCACTTTCTGATCTTGCTCCCATATATCTGCGGAATTGGAGGACGTGACGATGGAAACGGCATAGCGTTGTTACTTTTACGATACAGGTACAGAGAACCAACAGATTTCTTTCCTACACCATGTACCCCATTGCGCACCCGAACGGTCAGCTGGTCAGCCAGTCTGCGTCTCACGCACGGATGCGTTTCTCTGAGATTCTTTCCAGTCGTTTTGCGCGCGCGCGTTCTGCGGCATATTTAGGGATGGGGTGGAGTGGCTTGTCCGATTGATTTGAAGCGATGGGGGATTGGATGCCTGACTTTGAATGGATAGTGAGGCTGGGTCTGTTTTCCTCTCTGGCGACTGAGGGAGCTGGTAAGGAGGGAAATAAAGATATGCCTTAGTACACATCAAGAAATTACTTTTGACCTGGCATGAACATGAATGCCGATGAACTTCGCAGAATGTCCCAGGCAAGTACCGACATGAGAGGGTGATTTAAGACCATGATCCGGCGATCCCTGAGCTGCACATAACGTTGTACGATACCGGTAGATATAGCTTTTTTTTGGTCACAGCATACAAGCCTATGTATGTGACCACGAGGCAACCTGTCACTTCTGCTATCTCTTCCTAGGATTGGGCTGGTGTTTATACTACTCTGAGTGTTTTCTTGATACGGGCGGGTATCTTTGACTTAGTTGGGTCGGATACAATGCAGGATTGGGTTTTGGTCTTATTAGGATTCACATTTCGACTACGAAGTTGATACGTTTCTGGGCCTGTATTTCCATTGTTTGTACCGAAGACCAGATATTACATAACTCGATTTTCTGTCCATCCTTTCCTGGAGAGCGCAGAGGGGATACGGAGGCTCAGGTGATCTAGCTCAGGGGACGATCGATTATCCGAGCTCCTCTCCCCCTCGTCCTTCCTCTACGCGTGGGCACTGAGAGGCTTCATCGGTGATTCTAGGCGAGGGATTTCGTGGATATGCGTGGCGGTAGCGCCTGCTTTATCGCAAGACGAAGATTCTGCGAGCGAGGTGGAAGTTCAGCTCTTTGCTCGAAGCATTACGATGCGTATGAATGGCTGTGATATTGCTTGAGCTGGAGGCTTCTAAGATATCCGGGCGCAGCCTAACATGTCAGCTACCTTAATATTGCACATGAGAAAGCTCAATTGTGTTTCGTGACTGACTTTCGTTATGTATGAAAGTTGGGGCAGCGGGAAGTGTGGATGGAACTCGGGGATGTAGCCAAAGATCTAGCCGTCGAAGCAAGAGACGAATCACACAACGTAGGAAGAATTTTACTCCTAATATTATCGTCAAGCTCAAAATCGCTATTATGTAAAGCTGAATCATCGCCGCCACCTTCTTCATCGTCTTCGAAATCGATTATGATAGCGGTTTAAAGAGCCTTGGCGCTAGGCTTCCGAGTTCAAAAAGGGCGCTGAGATAAAGCTATTTCGACCTGACTCTCTTCTTTCTTAACAGTTCGTAATTGCTTAGCTACAAGCCTTGCAATTACCTTTTCTTTCGGTGGTCGACCTCTTTTTCTTTGGTGCAAGAAGATTTAGTACCTAAAGAGTTGTTCAAAGCGTGAATAGCTTCAGTGATCTTCTCTTCCTTCGTCATTTGCTCCGCGGTTGCGTATTGAAGAAGCCTTTTGAGAAGCCTTTTCAATCAAGCAACCTTTGCATGGTAACCGATCCGCTTTAGTTGCCGGCCACGTTTAGCCGAGCCCGATTTGCGTGGTTTGTTAGTGGACACCCTAAGTCTCTTCACGCATGGACTAGGTAGTAGGGTCGAAAAGTAAAATAAAAGTACACCCAAAGTACCATTTTTACTACTTTAACCTAGCACAAGAAAGGCATAACAACTTTTAATTCAGATTTGATTAATCGAGTGGATAGTAAACTATATACGGTGCATCTTTCTATACAAAAAGAATTACGATATGATAGTTGATTAATTTTATATTCATTGTAAATGGGCAAATTTTACTGTCCCGCCTTGGTGGTGCCGACTTTCTACAGCAAGTCGGTCAATTCTTTTGAATTGAATTTAAGGTAACCGACGATGAGCTTATGATTCACTTAACAAAGACTTATTTTAACTATATTCGAAATTGTGTACAACATATGGCAGTATATGCCAAGAGAAATATCTCTATAGCTGCAGTACAGATCCAGTCACATTGTAGCTTCTACGATGCGGAAATGACGGTTGTTGACAAAAGGCCCCAGGTGAGAACTCGCTTGTTGAAAGGGGCGCAAGCGAGATTTTTCAAGAAGCGAAGTTTGCAGCTATTTTTGTTCTCGGGATACAGTACAGCAAAATTGCATTATCTAGAAATGAGAGTAAAATCGCCCTCTCCCCCCCCCCCCAAAATCGACATCTATAACGGTAGAGAAGAGAATGACTTGGAAGCTATCAGAATAAAAGCAGGCGTACGAGCTTCATCAATGACACCGCCCAATTCTCTCTCCATTCCATAAAGGAACCAATTGTCTCTCTTAGCACCGGCTAGACACAAGGCCGAGTAACATCAGCAGTGGCTGGTGAACGACTCAAGACCGTTTCCAAACTCTTTTCAGCCTCATATCGACTTCCCAGCACCCACTCAGCCTTATCAGCCTTGCAGGACGCACCACTCAGCCTCGCGACGCACTCTCCTCGCGTCTCTCTCTCTTCCTCTTCGACTTCCAACCCAAACAATGAATGGCATTTTCCCTCCCCAACACCCTCAAGCTCGCCCAGCTGAAGCAGCTAGCCTTCAAATGCGGAATCTCCACCTCCGGCACAAAGCCCATCCTCACGCGCCGCCTCCTCGATGACCTCGCCCTCCTCCAACCTCTCCAACAACCCGCGAAAGCTGGGAAGCAGCTATGGATGGGCCACAAAGGGGAGAGGACGCGGATCTTGAGCATCGACATGGGGATCCGGAACCTCGCGTACTGCATGCTCGATGTTCCGCCCAGGGGAGGGGGATTGCCGTGTATCCACGCCTGGCATCGACTTGCCGTGTCCAGCGCTCCAGTTCCAAGCCCGGATGCTGCTGCCCTCGATGCTGATGCAGCGCTCGCCACAGCAGCGGCAGCAGCGAAGGAAGCGTTCGATCCCGCGACCCTGTCCGCTGCTGCTTACGCGCTCCTGCGGCACCGTCTCCTGCCTTTAGACCCGACGCACATCCTGATCGAGCGCCAACGGTTCCGGAGCATGGGCTCGAAACATATCCTCGAGTGGACAATCCGCGTGAACATGTTTGAGAGTATATTGTATGCTGTACTGTGCACGCTGCGGGAGGAAGGGGTCTGGAGGGGCGAGGTACGGAGTATTGCCCCTGGAAAGGTTGGACCGTTCTGGATTGGTGAGGAGGGAGCCGAAGCCGAAGCCGAAGCAGAAGATGGGGTTGGGGATGAAGTCAGACCTGACTCAGGAGTAGAGCTCGAGATGGAGAAAGGAGAAGAGAGAGGTAAAAGCAAGAAGAAGATCCGCAGATCCCAAAACGCGAAGATCAAGAATAAAGGGCTGAAGATCGATCTTGTGCGCAGCTGGCTCGAGGGCGGTGATGTAGTCGGCTTTGGGAATGAGCAAGTGGAGAGCGTGGCGAGGGCGTACAGAGAGAAATGGGATAGGGCACCTGGGGCAAGGAGGGGGCCGAGGGGGAGGGAGAGGGAGGGAGAGAAGATGGGCAAGTTAGATGATATGGCGGATTGTCTTTTGCAGGGCATGGCTTGGGTGCAGTGGGAGGAGAATAAGAGGGCCCTGGTGAAGAATGGAGTTGAGGCTTTGTTGGAGTCTTGAGATATGAGGTGTGAGAGATTTGGAAAGGGAAATAGACGAATCGAGTCGAGGAAGAGTCTGTTGAAATCTAGTGATGAGGATAAGAGGCAATTCCATAGACCTGCTATGGCAGATAGCTATGAGCGACTATTAAATCGCTTCCAACTCGGAATGAGTTAACCGAGAGAACCATTTCACCACAGGCGGATGAGCAAAACATCAGATTGATGTTTCAATATGTCAAGACTTTAATAGGTTGCAATGCACATTGCACATTCCAGTATTATAACCTCATTGACCGCACAGTTGGTGACGAGATGGAGCCCACACATTTTGATTGATGGCTTCAGTGTAGGCGTGTCGCCTAGAACTTTCTGGAAAGCCTATGTACTTGCTGAACTCGACGCAAAGTGCGAGCTATCTATAAATCTTAAAGTCTTTTGAGGGCCAGCGCAAATGCAAGTGGTGGCTCTTTTCATTTTCTCGTCCGCAAATAGACCTCAAGCCAGTACATTCATGATCTCGTCCCAACTCGCCACACATTTCAGGGCAAAAGCCACTCATCTCAAGCTCCTTCCTCGCTTAACCCCCAGTGGCCTCTCTATACAAAGAGATACTCCTATTCGCACCAGCCGTAGCAAAAGCCTCGCTGCGCCCAGTCTTCGGCAACCACTTCACGCACCACAGAGCCTTGTCAGTCTCGCTATGCGTAGCCACACACGTCCTCTGGTCAATCGACCACACCTTGACCTTCCCATCAAATGAGCCACTGAGCAGGTACTCGCCGGTATCACTCCAGTCCGCCGACAAGATCCACGCTTGGTGACCCGTGAGGTTTGCGACTTGCTCTCCGTGTTGGACATCGTAGAGGGCAATGACTCGGGCGTCTCCTGCTGCTGCGAGACGGGTGCTGGCTGGCGAGAAGGAGACGGTGCGTACTGGCTTAACCAGACCTATACACCACCATTAGCACTTCTCTTCCGAAGAGAAAGTAAAGGGAGCCGACGAACCGGGTAGCGAGTAGAGAATCCTCCCCGTATCATTATTAAACACATACACGCCGCCATTCTCATGCCCGCTCGCCGTAAACTTCCCATCGCGGCTCATATCGATGCACATCCCAAAGCTGCCTTTGGTCTCATATTCCCTGATCTTCTTCCTCCCACCAAAGACATCCCAAACGTTGATGCGGCCATCGTACGTCGTGCTCGCGAGGAAGTGTCCGTCCTCGCTCAAGGCCACGGCCCAGATCTCGCCGGCGTGGTTCCCGTCTGTGATTGTGCCTTCTTCGCTCCACTCCCCGGTGTCCTCGGAGATGCTCCAGGTCTTGACCTCACCGCCGAAACCCGCGCTGGCGGCAAAGCGGCCGTTGCGCGAGGTGACGATGTGGTGACAGCCAAGCTTGTGGGCGCCGGACAGAGTTTGGGCGAGGGGGATGTCCGGGGAGAGCGTGGAGTGGATCTTTATGGATGAGGAGCCGGAGGCGGAGAGGATCTGGGTGGGTGTTACGGCGAGGGAGAATATGTCAGTCGGGTGGGCTGAGGAGGGTTAGCTGGGGACGAGGTAGTTGAGTATATGGATGGAGGGGTAGCTTCTTGACTCGCCGTCGTCGACCGTGTGGGTTGTGAGGTATTGTTTCGACTGGAGTGAGTTAGCTAGTATATGGAGAGTGTTCTCAAGGGGAATTTTACCATTGTCAATGGGTTCGGAGGAACATGTCAAGAATTTATGCAGGTTGAAGTGTTGATGTCGATACCCAAGTATATGAATTGGAAAGAGTCTGGCGGGGTTGGAGGGGTCAGTATAGTACAGTAAGATAAGTGTAAATAGGTACTTGAGTAGAGTCACTGCTGAACATTTGATCTTGCTGAACAAACTTATAATCAGTCCCTTGGATGTGGTCAATGGCAAGTATCTTTTACATTTGTGTGCACTGTACTTTACACATTTGTCTGAGGAAATTCTCCACGACACACCACACCCTAACCCCTATAACGCCTGATGCTAATGCTCTGAACGTGTCTTCAATGCACACAATTGAGAGATAGCATATAAAACCCTCCTCTATCCTCGCTCGAGTCCTGTACCATTTGCTCATACCCAAAATCATCTACGCGTCCCCTGGTCCGTCTGCCTTAGCTGCTTGCGCTGGCTTTTTGGTGTTGCGCGTGAACATGGCTTTGATTTCTGTAGTAGTCTTAGCACTTGATATCACCAACAGTCTTCATATCCTCCTACCAGAGACGCAGTACGGGCACAGTAGATGCGCCCTCTTGACATGTCCACACGCCGAGCACTTGTTCAAGGCCGTCACGTCCTTCAATCCCTTTCCAGCCATCATTCTCGAGCGCTTCTTCATGTGTGATGTCTTCTTCTTCGGCACAGCCCGTAGTATCGACTCCCATATCTCTTCCACGAGCCCTGGCACATTGAGATGTATCGCGGAGGGAATGACGAGGGCGAGGGATGGCATCAGCGGGAGAGAGAGCCGTCTGGAGTAGAGAGTCGTGGATCGTGAGGCATTGAAGACTGATGATGTGGATAATCGAGGCAGAAAAGATGAGAGAATGGAGGAAGTTGTCGCGTGAACGGCGGCCATTTTGACAATAATATTGTCGTTGTCGTTGGTATTGACAGTAGTCGTGAGCTGGGGTTTGTTGGTGATCTTCAAATCTGCATTGAATCCCATCCATACGGTGACATGCAGGGTCTAAACCGCAATCAGCGCTAGTGGCTCGGGCGGCTTCCCCTTTTCTCGGGCGCGACATCGACTGAATTTCTTGGAGCTCGAGACCAACTCCAACTCCAACTCCAACACCAACACCAACACACTCGCTGATAGACATCCTCTCCGAGCTACCTGATCACCTCGGTCTCAATCAAGTCTCTCAATAACTACGACTCAAAGCAGGATATCTGGCTTCTACGAGCATCGCCGCAACAATGGCAACCATGCAGGATAGACACGCTGCCCAGCAACCCGTGTTCCCACGTAGCCACGTCGGTTTCGACAGCATCACTTCACAGATTGAGCGCAAGCTTTTGAAGCGCGGTTTCCAGTTTAATGTTATCTGCGTCGGTACGTGCTGCGCATGCTTATAGATGGATTGAGTTCCAAGCGCATTTTAACTCTATCGGCAGGTCAAACGGGTCTCGGAAAGTCGACTTTGATCAACACGATCTTTGCTTCCCACCTGATCGATTCTAAAGGAAGACTTGCCCCCGACGAGCCCGTACGATCGACAACTGAAATCCAGACTGTCTCGCACATCATTGAGGAGAACGGAGTTCGACTGCGCCTGAACATTGTCGATACCCCCGGCTACGGCGACCAGGTCAACAACGACCGATGCTGGGACCCTATCGTCAAGTACATCAAGGACCAACACTCCGCATACCTTCGCAAGGAGCTCACAGCCCAGCGCGAGAGATATATCCAAGATACCCGCATCCACTGCTGCTTGTTCTTTATTCAGCCTTCAGGCCATGCCCTGAAGCCCATCGACATCGTGGTCCTGAAGAAGCTCTCGGATGTTGTCAATGTCGTTCCAGTCATTGCCAAGTCTGATTCCCTGACCCTCGAGGAGAGAAGTGAATTCAAGGAGCGCATAAAGGAGGAGTTTGCGTTCCACAACCTCAAGATGTTCCCATACGACAACGATGAGTTTGACGAGGAGGAGCGTGCTCTGAATTCCCAGATCAAGGTATGCGGTGCCAGTGTTGGCTACCGAAAATAGTATTAATCTTTTATAGAGCATCATCCCATTCGCCGTCGTTGGATCCGAGAAGTCAATCATCGTTGCCGGCAAGCAAGTTCGAGGTCGCCAAAACAGATGGGGGATCATCAATGTTGAGGATGAGAACCACTGCGAGTTCGTGTACCTCCGCAACTTCCTCACCCGCACCCATCTCCAAGACTTGATCGAAACCACATCGCAAATCCACTACGAGACGTTCCGCGCCAAGCAGCTTCTTGCACTGAAGGAGAGCAGCACAGCAGGAGGACACGCCGGTAGCCGACCCATCTCCCCCGCAGCCGACCGGGAACTGAGCAGAAACTCTCAACGAATGACCATGAACGGCTACTAGGAGGTGTGAGGTGTGGGGGGGAACGGGATGCTGGACTGGAGTGAGGTGTTATGATATTGGACGGGCTCATTGCGGGAAAGCGACGAGGGTTTCTCCATTATGAAATTGTGGCCGGCACAAGGCTATTCCTTAATTATGATATCAGAAATGGATTCTGTACTTTAATAGATTATAGGTCTACTTCATCCTCCTTATTCAACGGATGCTACCTTGATCTGATAACAGTGTTCTCTGTGTTGTACAATGAGATGGCTGTCAAGGCTTGACAGCTTCAGAGCTCAAATCGGAAGATGAGGGTCTTCTTTCCCACCCGCCATATGAATCGATGCCCAGACTTTAATTTACATTCATTCTCCTTGAACGCCTCTCCTCCATCCCTCCCAAGATGTTTATAAACTCCCACCCGGCACCGGCTTTATCCCATCATTCTGCATCTCCTCCCTCCTCTTCCTCATCTCCTCCACCAGCTTCGCCTGCTCGGCAATCTTCCCCTCTCGCGTCTTGCGCTCGTCGATTTCGGCCGCGACCCAGACTACACACACAGACAAACACACAGAGATCGTCAGCCTACCATCCATCCATCCATCCATAGACTCAATTCCAACAACAACAAAAACAACAACAAAAACAACAACAAAAACATCAAACCCCCATCCTCCCTCCTCCCCTCCTCCCCCTCCTCCCCTCCAACCCAAACAAACCATAGCCAACACAGCAAACAGACCCAGACCCAAACCCAAACTCGGAGCAGAAACACAACTCACTCGGCTTGTCACTCTTCGAGTACTCCCGCAGCTTCATGGCGAAGTGGTCAAAGTCCTCCTGCTTGCGCTGGCGGTTCTCGCGGCTGCGCCGCTGCAGCTCCGGGTTGTACTTGGCGTAGAGCTCTTCCTCTGTGGGCGAGACCCAGATGACGAGCGCGGGCCCGCCGATGCAGCAGATGCCGCCGCTGGAGGGGGGGGGAGAGAGGGGGTTGTTAGCTGGGTTTGGGGGAGGGTTGGATTTGGGTGGGAGGGGAGGGGGGGGGGAACTTACGCGACAGCCATTTTGGCGTACATGGCCCAATTGATGCCGGGCTTGGGAGGCATGTTTTTGGGGGGAGGAATGGGTGGTTTCTTTTTTTCTTTTTCTTTTTCTTTTTTTTTTCCTTTCTGATGTGTATGGTACGGTACGTATGAATTGCCAGGTACGTACGATATTGACCGACCGTATGGGATGAGAATGTAGAAAAGGAAAGGATAGGGTAGCGTAGCGTAGCGTAGAGTAGAGGCGGAAGCTGTTGTTCTGGGGTTCTGGGGTTTGGATTTGGGGTCTAGGATTTGGGATCTGGTCGTTCGTTCGCTTGGGTCTAGATTTGTTTGTTTGTATGTTGTTTGTATGTATCGGTATGTTTGCATGTCCCTCGGTTCGGTTCGATGATGATGATGAGATTGTTTGGGGTTTCTGGGATGTGGCTGTGGAGGCCGTGCAGGCTGTGGCTGTGGCGTAAGAGGGCGTTAAACGGTCGCTGTGTATACAAAGTACTTACTCCGTTTTGCTTTCGACGATTTCATTAATCTCTCCTCTATTTAATCAGGCGTTCTCAATCCTTTGAAAATTTCTAATATTACAAGTCAAGTCAGTGGTTCTTGTTGCATAGATCAACCATGTCGAGAACCAGATTAGAAAGTGGCGACGCTTTTAAGACGATGGATAGATCTAGCAAGAACCGAACTTCTAGATTTTTTGATCCTTTTCTTCTTTCTTTCTTTCTATCTTTCGTAGATGCTTTCTACCGCAGTCCGTATGTATGTGCAACCAGGCCTCCCACAAGATCTATCAACACGGCAGCTCAGCGCTGTTTTCTTCCCCTCTCCCTCGTTGGCGCCCCCCCCCCCCCCCCCCCCCCCTTCCTCACATTAATCCAGCACGCTCACCCCAGCCTTGCTCTCATCACCCGCCTCCTGCTCCTGCGTCTTCTTCACATCGCCCTTCGCAAACACAAACTCCTCCAGCTCCCGATAGGCCACCTCCAGGTCATCGTTGACGATAACGACATCGTGCACTCCCGGGGTCTTGGAATACTCAATCTCGTTGTGGGCCTGGGCGAGGCGCTTCTGGATGGCGTCCTCGGATTCTGTGGCGCGGGCGCGGAGGCGGGATTCTAGCGCGGCGAAGGAGGGCGGGGCGATGAAGATGTAGCGGAAGTTGGAGGAGAGGGGGGAGGATTTGATTTGTTTGAGGCCCTGTTGGAATTCGGGGGGGGTGTTGGTTAGTTAGTTGGTTAGTACGAGGCGGGACTGAATACGAATCGAATGATGCAGGACGAGAGGATGGGAAAGACGGGAAAGCAAAAAATCGATAGAAAGGAATTGACAAGGGAAGGTAGCATAGCATAGCTAGTACTAGGAATACAGATAGAGACAGGCACATGTAAGTGAGCCGAAGACCAGAGCAAGGAAGAAAAAAGAAAGCATACGAAAACAAAAAGCAAAGAAAACGAGAAGATAGAGAAGCAAGAAAGAAAGAAACAAACAAACAGACAAACAAAACCTACCTCCATCTCAATATCCAACACCACAACCCTCCCCCGGCTCTCCACCGCGCGAATCATCTCCCGGCTCGTCCCATACCGATTCCCCCCAAACCGGGCATGCTCGACAAACCCGCCCTCGGCAATCATCTTCTCGAACTCCTCCATGGACACGAAATAGTAGTCCACGTCGCGCGTCTCGCCGGGGCGCGGCTGCCGCGTCGTGTGCGAGATGGAGGTGCAGAAGACGGAGGGGTGGCGCGAGAGGAGCAGCTTGTAGAGCGTGCCTTTGCCGACGCCTGAGGGTCCGCTGATGATGAGGGGACGGGCGTCGCTGGGGAACAGGACTGGGAGGGAGAGAGGGAGGTTAGCTTGGTTGTAGGTAGGGAGAGAGGTTTGGGGAGGGGAGGGAAGGGGAGGGAAAGGGAAATGCAAGTAAATACCTGGTGCCATTGTGTATTTTCTTAAAGACGTGATGGTTGAGCGGATGCTTGTTGGGGCCAGTATGGGATGGTGAGAAGGGCGTAGGAGCCGCGGGAAGAGCATGAGGGAGGGGGGTCGTGGACCAGAGACGGATGGTGGAGGGGTAAGCTGGCTGAGCTGAGCTGAGCTGGTCGGAGCTGAAGGGGGAGGTCGAGACACTTTTTTGTGGGGATGGTCTACCAGATAGGTACCGGTACCTAGCAGTCGTATCCTTCACATCACTGCCTTGCCCGCACCGCGAGCATCTCGATATCCTTCGTTACTTATCAAAATAAGAAAACCTTCAAAACACGAAATGGGTTGGGAGTGGAAAATTAGGTACGATGGAAACCTGTCGGAAGATTTGGGATTTTACAAGCACACATATGATCTAACATTATCAACTCGCATTTTCCAGCCTGGGAATCACCCAATTCCAATATAACGCGCCAACCACCAATTTCTGGAGCTCTCGCACGAGCAATATGCTTCGAGGGAGCGGGTATTTTTCGCAAGAAGGAATTCCCAAACGCCACGCCAATCAAAGATTCACATCCATCACCCCTCACCACATTCTCGCCCACCATCCATCTAGAACCGGGTGAACCGCGTCATGTTGCTGACCTCGCTGTATCTGGACGAAGGAGGAGGAGGAGGCGGGGGGTTGACGACGCCTTGGTGATACGGGTGCAGCGCGGTCGGGGGACGCTGGACATCGGGCGCAATAGGCGAGCTGCGCGATGCATCCCACTTGGCGAACTGCTCCGGGTCTTGCACCACGGGTCTCGAGATTTCGAATCTGGAGCTGCGGATTGGAAGTCGGAATGAGAAGCGGGATTTTTGGCGGTCGGCCGGGGCGTTGTAGCTGGGGAGGCTCGGGTTGACGGAGCAGCTGGCCCGAGGGGAGCCGCTGGAGAGACTGAAGCTCTTGGTGCCAGCGTCTTTGGGAATGGATGCACCCTGGCTGCGGACTTGGCGGCCGGTGATGCCAAGTTTGGAGTCGCAGAAAACGTAGGTCTGTGGGTTTGTGAGCTTTCTTTCCTCGGGGATTCTGGAGAATGGGGAGTACCTACGGCAACGATATTGGAGAAGCCCATGATAGACGTGAGGATGCCCGATGCAATGACGGTTCTCCACATGGGCAGACCCAGGTTCTCCACGCTGGTAGCGGCCTTGTTGAGGTTACCCAGGGTGTTGAAGCCCAAGACCATCATGGCCGCGCCGAGAAAGACGAAGCCAGACTCGAGACTGAGCAAGGGCCAGAAGGCGACGAAGTAGGAGCGGAAGAGAGTGAGCTCGGACACGATGAGGAAGAGACCCACGGTGCTGGTGATGAAGTGGGAGACGGCATCGAAGAAGTAGAACTGTGACTTGTGAGCTGGGCATCCGTTCATTGACACGCCAAGGTGGTAGGACGTACACTTGAAGTCTTGACGGTCATGACGAGCATGATCCAACTTGCGACGACCACGAGAAGGAGAGAGATGATGTTGAGGACCCGGATGACATTCAAGGTAATGTAGCCAGCACCGGTGATTTTGGATTCAGAGATCATTTTGATTTTGACGAAGAGTTTGTACTACGGTCGAGATTTTGTGATGAGGATTTGTAGAGGTCGACTGCCTGCAGAAGAAGGTGTGTGCGGTGCGGTGCTGTGCTGTGTTCTGTTGTGTTGTGTGTTTGACAGTGTTTCATTCGAACGTTCGAGGAACAGGGAAATATCTGGAGGAAAGAACGTAATTACATGCACAAGAAGATTTAAGTATGAATTGAACCGAGCTAACGAGGCCACAAAGCTATTGTGGTCGATCACAATAAGAAGGAAAAGTTGGGCTTTGAGGGACAATAAGATCGAACAAGGGCGAGCCGAGTATATGAGTGAATCACAACAAAAGCAACGTCGCGCCACGTCTTTGAGGTCAACAAACGTGACCCGACTTCAACCTACCTAATGTGCATCTCAACTATGACTATGCCTTTGTCCTAAACATAGCACAGAATTCTTTCAACGAATGGTGGCAAGCTTCGGAGCGCGAAGGCAGATGAAGCGGGTTTCGGGAGGCTGGAGGGGGCATCCATTTGGACAAAGTGACAATGTTTGAGAAGCATCTGCCAACTGTGGAACTCTCCGAGCCGCATCGTCAGCGAGCGACCTCTGCTCGTCGCGTTGTACTTGGTCGCAAGGGCCAGAGAGAGAGAGGCGTCCACTTTGCTGAGGAGAGTCGAAACGCGTGAAAGGCAGCGATCATCCGGGATGCATCTGCTGTCCGAAGCCAATAGAATCCGTAACAGGCGCTTGCATCGTAACAAGCGCTTGCAAGCATAACCTCCAGGTTACACAGAGCTCATGCCGCCGGCCTCGAAGACCGTTCCGAAGAGCTATCGCTGCATCTGCTTCAACTAGGTAGGTGAAGTTGAAGGCGCTTATTATTGCCAGTGAGGTTGTGAGATTGATCCAAGATGGTCCGTACAGCATGCGCCCGGTGGTCCGGACGTGCAAGCGCGGGGAGTTGGTCGAAAGCCTCCAGCTTAGATCTGGAGGATTCTCAAGATTCAGTCTTGGTAGATCTTCTGACTCGAAATGTGCTCGACGTCGTGCTCAATGTTGTGCACAATGTGATGTTGAAGCTCTCTTAATTATAGAGACGTCGAGGATTCCCGAGGCCCGACGACTTGACTCCTGATATCTTGGCAAAGCTTACCTCGGAGATACTTATAAGCTGGCCGCATCGTTTTTCCACATCTCCCACTCAAGCCCTTATCCACGTAGACAAGAAAGCCTCCTAACCCGCCTCCCAAGTATCGTGGACACTGAATATCAATCCCAAATGGCCAGAGGAAACCAGAGAGACAAGGCCCGTGAGGCTAACCTGAAAAAAATGGCCGAACAGGTAACTTTAGTCCCTCTTTGCTCCTTGCGACAGGACACACCGCTGACCCAGCCTTTCTCTGCAGAAAAAAGGCAACACCATGTCGGGAACTGCAATGGCCGCCGAAAAGGAGAAGGTTGCGGCGAAGATGAGGGAGAAGCAGGCTGCCGGTAAGTCTTACGGGGGGAGAACTCTTGTCAGGAAGCTGTTCGCTGGGCGTCTTTCTAACAGCATCGTAGCGGATGCGAAAAAGGCCGCCGAGGCCGCTGCGAAGAAAAAGTAAACGGGCGGCGATGCGACCGAACGGATACGCGAACGATGTACGGAATAGACGTGCGGAGATGAAGGAGTTTTTTTTTTCGGTCTGGTAACCAGGATTGCTTTCTTGCCTGGTTCATAATTCGAGCATGGGATGCGGGATACACGGTGTTTAGACAGCATGGAATCTGCAATGGAATATACCTTGGAATACTTCCCGGTGCTTCGTTCGCTCTTCGGCGGTGGGTCTGCGGTGTTCTGTTCTACCCCGTGACATGTCTTTCGCCTCTAACAAGTCACCGCTGCTTATCTTCTTCAGCTTCACAAACTTTCAATCGAGATGCTCATTCTTGCAGCGCGCACCAACCGCCCAGCCCGTGCTTCTTTCTCTTCTTCTATGCTTCAACCTGTCTCAACAGCTGAGAGGGAGGGGAGGAAGGGGGGGGGTTTCTCGGCTCCTATTACTTTGCCAGCTGGCGGGTCGTTCACCAGGCTCCTTGTAAAATGAGAGGGGGCTGGATGATGTTATCTTGGTGGACAGGACACTGAGAGAGGCTTAAGTACTTTGGCCACAACACCCACCGTTCCAGCTGCTACTATGGAACAGCTTTTGTGTCCGTATTGCTCAACCCAAATGTGTCCCTTCGTAATGCTGGGAAGGACGATGGAAAGGACACTGGAAAGCGGGATCCTTACGGCTTAGCATCACCAGCCTCTACACTCGAGGACAGCAAGAGACTATTCTTCCCGCAAAAAGAGACTCGTCTTAGCTTTACCGGCTCTTTCTTTGGAGTCAAAGTGTGTGTGTTGGGTTATCAAGCAATAATCGATGTCGCGGCTTGCTTGACTTGCTTGGTCATGCTCTTGGCTAACCGTTTCTTTCGACCACAGCCATCCTTTCGTCTTCTTATAAAACGCGTCCAACGTGTAACTCACTCTACTTAAGTACAACAACCAACACTCGTGCATCTCCTGCAAGGCTGCAGAAATACAATAAGTAAGGCTGAAGTGGCATGTTGATTAGTACTTAGTACAGCCTCGGACGTATACGTATTGCAGGGATCTTGATCTGATACCAACCTCCTTGGGCTTCAAAAAAGAAGTGTCGATATAGAATCGATATCTTGATCAGAAAAGAGAATAGATATAAATAGAGGAGACTTTTGGAATCAAGATCCTACGAAGTTCTCTATCCTACCACTATTATTCTCATTGTTGATTTAAGTTCTCAAAAGACGGCCGTCGGCGGGACCCGTCTCCCCCGCCATCTAGGCCCAATAATCCCTCCACGGTACTTGCGGATAGCAATCGAGCTTAGTGAGCTTCAATCACGTCACTCCACACTACTTACTTGCGACTATCTTGACTTATTGACTTTGGCCCTCTTACACCGACCGCACTTTTCCCCCTTCATGCAAAGACTCGTCCTCCTCACACGCTCAACGTCAACGACCGTCACGGCATCGAAGACGGCTAACTCGAGACTATTTTCCCTTGCCCGCCAGTTCTCCTCCTCCTCCTCCACACTCAACATCAATATGGCTCCCATAACAAAAGAATGCGACTACCTCGTCATTGGTGGCGGTAGCGGTGGTCTGGCGTCGGCACGCAGAGCCAGCGGCTATTACGGCGCAAAGACTATCGCGGTAGAGAGCAAGCGTCTGGGAGGAACTTGTGTCAATGTTGGGTAAGGGGACAAACTACCCCGAATTGAATCAGAGCTAACTAATACTGCCTACTGTAGATGTGTGCCAAAGAAGGTTACCTTCAATGCTGCCATGATCGCAGAGGCTATCCACGACTCGAAAGCGTACGGATTCTCCGTCAATCAGTCTGCGCCTTTCGACTGGCCGAGCTTCAAGAAGAAGAGGGATGCGTATATTCTGCGCCTGAATGGAATCTACGAGAAGAATTTGAGCAATGACAAGGTTGAATATATCCATGGACGGGCACACTTGACTGGCAAGAACGAGGCGGAGATTGTGCTGGACGATGGTACCAAGCAGACTGTTCGGGCAAAGAAGATCCTGCTGGCGGTTGGTGGACATCCCACAATCCCCCAAGGAATCCCAGGTTCGGAATACGGAGTCAACAGTGATGGCTTCTTCGATATCGCAGAGCAGCCTAAGAAGGTCGCTTTAGTAGGCGCGGGATATATTGCCGTGGAGTTTGCTGGCATGTTCAACGCTCTGGGCACGGAAACACATCTTTTCATTCGACATGATAAATTCCTGCGATCATTCGACCCTATTGTTCAAGATACCGTCACAGCAGAGTACGAGAGGCTCGGTGTTCACCTCCACAAGAACTCCAGCCAGAGCAAGGTAGAGAAGGACGAGACGAGCGGTAAGCTCACGCTCCACTACAAGGACGCCAACGGAGAGGGCAAGCTCGAGGGTCTCGACGCTCTCATCTGGGCCATCGGCCGCTCCCCTGAAGTCGAGGATCTCGGCCTCGAAAAGGCAGGCGTCAAGCAAAACGACAAGAAGCAGATCATTGCTGACGAATACCAAAATACTAATGTCGATAACATCTACTCCCTCGGCGACGTCGTTGGTAAGGTCGAGCTGACACCCGTCGCCATCGCCGCTGGCCGCAAACTCGCTGATCGCCTCTTCGGACCCGAGAAATTCAAGACTTCCAAGCTAGACTACGACCTCATACCCTCCGTCGTGTTCGCACACCCTGAAATTGGAAGTATCGGCCTCACAGAGCCGCAAGCCGTGGAGAAGTACGGCAAGGAGAACCTCAAGATCTACAATACCAGCTTCACGGCGATGTACTACGCAATGATGGAGCAGGATCAGAAGGGACCGACGAAGTACAAGCTCATCTGCCAGGGACCGGATGAGAAGGTCGTGGGTCTGCACATTCTGGGACTGGGCAGCGGAGAGATGCTGCAGGGTTTCGGGGTGGCGGTAAAGATGGGGGCGACTAAGGCGGACTTTGATAGCTGTGTGGCTATCCACCCGACGAGTGCCGAGGAGCTGGTAACGCTGAAGTAGAGGATATAATTCATAGAATAGTAGATGCCGAGAATACATGACGCCACCCCCTTTCCTTTCCGTGAACGTACGGGCCGTTTTTTGCTCGCTCGTCGTGCGCTGTCGAAAGCAAGAGACTTCTGTGTTTGGCAGGTCCAGCTCCAAGCAAGGCTCTCAAACAGCTAGCTTATGAAGCTAGAGCTGAATGAGGACCTTGCTTAAGGCCAACACACCCATTAAAGGCGCTGTTTTATTGGTTACTAGCAGAAGACTATGGGAAAGGGGTGGGGGAAAAAAAAGGAAAAAGACGAGGTTCTGAGACCTGATTGCGACTTTGTAATGTCGATGGACATTTTTTCATGCATCAGCCCTTTCTTTCTTAGCGAGAACACCACAAGCGAGAACACCATAAGCGAGATCGACGTCGTCGTATTCAAGCCCGGGAACTTCTAAACTCTTGTCAGCCAGCACACGACAAAAAAAAGAACTGGAAAATATATTTACAGTTTCCGATTATTGCCGTATTCTTTGGTAAAGGGAGCCAGGCTTGCGGCTCCAGCAGCCCCAGCGACCCCAGCGGCCTCAGCTTCGACGGTACCGCCTCACCTCCGGCAGGACGTCCCGGTGCGTCTTCCTCAGGTATTGGTACGAGTCCCATGCTGCTTGGGACTTGCTGTCTCTTTTTGCTTTCTCGGTGAAGCTGTGGGGGTCTAACAACCTCACCACAGCCCCTTCCTCCGCCATTGTAACTTTCATGTCCTCGATGTCCGATCTGTCCAGTACTCTATCCCATAAGACAAAACGAGTCTCATCGCCACCCTTCTGGTCCACCAGCCCGCTCATGTCCACTAGTTCATCGGCCCTAGGTATAGGACCGATGTCCTCGTGGATCTCTTGCGCAGTGAGGCGGATATTGAGGTGGGGATCTAACGTCCCGGCTGGGATAGCAAGCTGTGGATAAGTGACCATAATGTAGTGCTCGAGAGGGCGGTCCGCCGGCCGGACGATTGCCAGGATTGCTACACTGGCATCGGGGGCAAATGATGGCATGGTAGGCGGTAGGGAGTTTGGAGTTGACGATATTCAAGGCGCGTAAGCTTCGTACAAGTGAGAAGAGAATGATTCAAGATCTAGATCACAATCGGCAGATTTGGGTCCCTGATCTTATACTTGGGATACGAAGTATCTTGAAAGGGGCGAAGAGAGAGGCGCGCGCTTGTGGCTGCAGAGTTGCCGTTGGATCTTCAGGGGCGCACTATCTGAAACTACCCTAGGAAGCATCACGATTGAATTACAGGAAAACAGCAGTAGTAGTTGTGGAAAACTACCGAGCTTTATGTTATTGTTACACAAGGAAGCGTGGTACATCCGTCTCGCTTCCGGCGCCTTTTTCACAAGCGGGGTTCAGGTTGCAAATGGAAAAAGAAAGCTTAGCACGAACGACGATTTAGTCGTCCGGAAGTTCCATATCTAGTCGCAGATCTTGGGGTTCCCATCCCTACCCTGATTATGATGATGCTAATTGTAGACTTCTACTTTCAGAGGCCTTCTATTACAACAAATTACCGCATTCGGTGCTGTATTCGCTCAGAAAATCCGGATTACTTCTTCATCCCATCTCCTAACATCGCCGATCGCATGAGCAGACTTGTCGCCCAAGATCCCTCTTCCAGAGCTCATATAGCGGGGACTGACACTCAACCCCACTCGTCGAAATCCAGTCTCTATCTGCTGCAATAGAAGGCAAACCAGATCTCCAGAACTATTCCTGTGGGCTGGGACAAGCCACGTGGAAGATACAGGATTACGGCTGCGGATCTGCTCAAAGTCATCCTCGGGGCTGTCGAGATACACGCTCGGCTGCATATTCGCGATATCCTTGCTGCCAGCGACCAGAGTCCAGGTAAAAATATCTTCTCGTGTACCGTTTGCTGTCTTGCGGACTTTTCTATCAATTGCCACTTGGTGTTTTTGGCATGCAATATCAGTGTACGCATTTCTCTGGACGAGACCGAATTTACTGTTCGATTCCGGCTCTGGATTTACTCTTATTCGGACCATCCTGATCAGCAAGCTTGTCTCTTCTAGAGCCGGGGCACATTTGACCCCATCAGGTGCGTCGATCGCTGCCCAGGAAAAGCTAGGTGCACGATACACTTCTGGTCGTCTCGACGGATACGAGAATACCCCTTTATGAAAGCGAGGTTCGACGCGCCACAATAGCTGGCTGGTAAAGTGCTTATTATTCCACATGCCAGCCACGTATGGAGCTTCAAAAAGCGGGTACATCTGTCCGGCGATGCCAGCAAGCGCGACCAGTTTGTCTTTCGCTTGAGTGAGTTTCAACAAAGAGTACTTCTCAACGATGGCTTTCCAGTCGACCTCGGAAGCAACAGCTGCTGCGTCTGAGGATGATACCTTTGTCCCGTCCTTCCTCGCCATAAGGTCCTTGAATCGGGTCTTTGGCTTGATGATACCGCAGTTCAGCTCGAGATCGATACCGGCAGGACAGCTCTCAGAAGCCTCGAATTCGCGACACTCCCATGCGATCTGGTCTTTGCAGAAGTGTAGCACCCGCGGCGCCAGCAGCCGTTCCTGCAACACCCAACCCCGCGTATTAACAGGCGCCGCATCAACAATGCGGTTCCAATGCGACGGATCGACAATGTTCCAACGTTGGGTCAGCGTCTTGGCACACCCGGGCTCCGATTTAGATAGGATCCGGGGATACCACGACGCAGGCTTGCTCACAACTCCTACATCCAGCGTCACATCCTCGCGGTCCAGCCGCTCCGGGTCTCGCCCCACGTACAAGCCTTGCGACCCGTTCTCGGCAGCCGTCGCGGAGATATTCAGGAACGAGTTTCGGTAGACGTCGTACATCTGCGTTGATTCGTGCATCCAGTCTGGCTTGTCGCCTTGAATGATGCAGAGGGAGTCTATCCAGATGTACTCCACGCCTGAGCCGAGTCGGCGCGCGAAATCGATGGCGTGTTGGAAGGTGCGGGTGAGTTTTTCTAATGGTATACCGTCTCTTGTAAAAGAACAAACGTTACTTTTCGTAAGAGTGAGAAATTTGGCGTGGCCCCAGCAGTGGCTAAGTGTTACGTATCTACCGACTGGTTTGTGTGCATTTTCGGCATTGGGGTGCATCAAATCGCTCGTCACGACAAGTTTGACGGTGGTAGAACTCAGCGGTCCCAGTTCGATGAGCCGCGTGGGGTAGAACGGCCTCTCAAACTTGGGATTACCTATTTTACCAGAGGATCCCGAGGCTTTCGAGTTGATCAAGCCGTCCGAGCTTCGCTGCAACCCAGCTCGACTTTCAAAGCCACTCGAAGGGCAATTCTTGTGTCCAGGCCCAACACACGCAGAAACCCACGACTTTGCCAATCCGAGAACCTCTGGCGAGTTCAGACTCCGAGATCGAGTAACCTTCAATGTATCTTTTTCGCCATCTGTTGTTGGGTTTCAGCACACGACTCGCTTGGAGGAGACCACGAACCTGTTTTCTGGAGCAGCAGTATCCCTATCCGGTCTGCCTCATTCCAGTACCCGAATCCCCGCAGCGAGAAATCAAGGCGGTACGAGTTCTTCTCAGACAAAGGAGTAATATGTGCCACGACGAGCGGAAAGTCGTCGCCACCATCCGAGGGGTCCTGTTGTGGTCCGTCTAGCAGCTCGCTCGCTTACAGTTGGACTGAGATCTCGTTCGTCCGAAGGAATTGAATGAATGAATGACTTACTTTCGATCGGGGATTTCGGAGCCAGTCCTCCCAGATGCGCCGACAGATAAAACAAGGTATTCGCGCTGATTGTTCGAGACTTCTCAGCGTCTTCTGGTGATCGAAGTCGAAGTCCATGTTTCGTTTACGCTGCTGCTGCCGCACATGGTGGCTACGCAACACTTCTCTGCAGATGTCGCAAATCATACCGAGACAAAAGAAAGAAAGAAAAGAGCAAATGAAACTATCTAACTGCTTCGTCTACATGTCTACTACTCTACAGCGATATTTGTAAGTTTATACACAATCATAGTCCAGCTCGCGTTGTTGGTTTTGGAGGGCTCCTCGCTTGAGTACCAGCAGCGCGGTTACACAAGCCTTACTATTTGCCATCTCACTAACCGCTCAACCTTCAGGATCCACACCGGATAGAGTTTTTATATGCAGACGCCCCCCCCACTCGTCTCTCCTCAAGCCATTGAAATCCATAAGGTTTTTCTATACCGGGAAGTTTTAAAGGGGCAGCGTCGCGCTGACTTTGTATCTACGGTACCTCTCTGCCTGTCTGGTTTCGATACGGCTTGAGACTTTGGAACAATTTATGATGATTCGACAAGTATATTATGGCTGTTGGGTTTTATGTTGAAGCTTGCAGAGTTGGTTTTTATGCTACTAATAAATATTTGTATGAACAGGCTTTCCTGGCGTTCATGGACCGCGCCGTCGATACGTACTAATCGTCATTTACCTTACTATCCACCCCACGCTATCGACAGGTAATAATGGACTTCGGGGGGTCGTGACAGCTCCTATCTACAATATTTGTTTCTATCATATAGAGTCTCCATCCATACTTTCCTCCAGAACACAGTAGCTCCAGACGCCGAATAGTTATTAATATACCATACAATGCTGAGGTAAACACATCTTTCACCTATCGAGTCGATGTCGCAGTAGAACGTACATCAGATGAGCTGCACGGTAATGGAATAGTCTAGCACAAAGTTTGGACATCATCGACTAGAGCATTACTTTCATTCTCCGAGTAATCTCTCACGGCCACGAAACAGGTATCCCAAAATCCCAAAACCCGTTTTCAACTGGCTTGTAACCCCATCTTGCTTAGTACAGAACTCTTTTCGAAGGTTGCCGTTCGTACCGCTGAGAATCACGGCGATTTTGGGGGGGGGGGGGGGGGAGGGGGGGTTTGGATGTATCATCCGCACCATCTCTTCGTACGCACTGAGTGAGTCTGACACAACAACCAGACCCCCAAGTCACATGTTGTAAAGTCACAAATCCACAAGTCACAAATCCACATGTCACAAATCCACAAGTCACAAATCCACAAGTCACAATCAAAGAATTAGTACCAAGGCAACGACAAAAGTATGTCATTGAAGGTCCAAGCCTGAACCCAAGTCCCAGTAGTTTGTTTACAAGATGGCGAAGAACCGTGTGCAGCAAGAGAGAGACAGAGAGAGAGTGTGTATGTATGAGAGAGAAAAAGGGGCAAGGGGAAGGAAACCGTTCTTCCCCAGCAAGCGAAGCAAGCGAATCCAATCCAAGCACAGAGAAAGAAGCAAGAAGACAAGAAGGATATCCGTACAAGTTCGGTCCGATCCAAGCCCCAAAAGAAACCATTCCCAGTTCTCTCCCGTTTCTGAGCGAGCGAATTTCAAACCGGACATGACAGGCAGACGGTGGTGTGTGTTGCGGGTGGCGGCGAGGGAGATAAAAAACCAGGAAACTCCCCCCTCCCCCATCCTCCCCCGGTAAGTAGCCAAGCCATGTATCCATCCATCAACACTTTATCAAGCGCCCTATTCTCCCCCCCCCCACCCAACTCCTCCCACAGCCACAGTCTAGATGTCAGAGATGTAGACAGTGACATAGTCCCTGCCCTTGCGGTCCTGCATCATCTTGAGCACCTCCTTGCAGTTAGCCTCGGTAACAACCGAGTTGGAGATGTTGGTCGAGCCCCAGTTCGAATCGTTGCTATCGACCCAGTCGACCTTGACCTGGACGATCTTGTGCTTCTTGGTCCAGACGCACTCGGCGAGGTTGGCGCGCACGTCGGAGGTGCCGCTCTGGATCTGCTTGAAGCGGCGCGCCAGGATCATGCAGAGCTCGGCGTAGTTCGAGTTGGCCTCGAAGCAGACGATCTCGTGGCCGGCCGCCACGTCGTCCTCGATGCCGCACTTGCAGACGAGCTTGACGCGCGCAGAGACCGGGCCCGTGGCGATGGGTGGCTCGTTGTCGGGCGCCGGGGTGACAGGACCGGCGTGGTGCCCGAAGGTCAGGGTGGGAGAGGCTGCCACTGCGACGCCTAGCTTCTCCAAGATCATGTTGAAGCCGCTCTGAAGCTTTTGGTCGAGCTGAGTCATGGTGACCGTGTCGGAACCCATGTTGACGAAGATGGTTGAAGAGGTTTGGAAAAAGTGGGCTGGGGTTCGAAAGCGATTGGTGATTGATCGAATGAGTGTGAAATTTGTGATTTGTGTTTGTGATTGAGTGGTTCGGTGGAAGCAGTGGATGATCTCTGTGTGCTGATGAGGATGAGAAAGGGGGATGGAGACATCATTAAATAGATGTGGAGGCTCGTATCCAGCGTCCAGAAAGTGACTGCCGTCAAAGCCAATCTGCTAAAGGCCAACGATGGCTCGCAAATCTCCCTGCTCCTTCACTTCGGTGAAAGCCCCATCTGCAATGCTCCTTGTAGAGAACGCTGCCATGCTGCTGCAAAAGCTGTGAAAAGGAGGGGGATTGCAGGCTGTGCTTCAATCGCAAGGTTGAAGGAAAAGTTTGAAAGATCGTTTGATCAATGCAGCCGGGGCCTTGCCTCCAAGAGCAAGGAGCAGAAATCCGTGACGGCAGAATACATTGAAGGGGGTCATCAAACCACTTCCAGCGGGCATCAATGCAGAAAGGCTGGCGGAAACTCGTTTGGTCCGCTTTGGTATGCCCAGCCAGCCCTTGACTGTAAATCGGCCATTCTCACTGAGGGTTCCTTGAATCTTGTATTGCTGCCCATAGAATGAAAGGTACAATCACGCTCGTACAAGAGCCTATTGCTGTCCAGAACATCTCCTTGATACCGACCCAAAAGACTGATCAGATTCTCTTCAAAATAATTGTCTTTGGCCATTGTAGTTAATGACAAGTAGATGCATGTCTCTTTTAGCAAAGGAAAGCCGCTAATGAACCCAACCTTCGCTCACTTGCAGAGAGGGACTGATCAAAAAGTGTTCATTATGGGTATCTCACACCTTCAGCAACAAGCCGTTGGTTGCACGCAAGCAGAAGTTCTGGATTTTGTCGTGACTCCCCTGCCCTCGATAAGAGCATCCCATATCATCTGAACTGCAGCCGCAACAAAATGCCATCGCTCAATCATAACCCTCGTAACCAGAATTGAATGCACCCAGGCCTGCTTGGGTGCTAACCCACTCTTCACTCATCAGGTTATTCATCTTCTCCTTTCGCAGCTTCTTCGCGTCTTTGTGCCAATCGCAAGCATAGTCGCACTCGGGCACTTCCTTCTCGCCAAAGTACTTTGTGATCACGTGGTGTTTACAAGTATCCACATTTTCGCAGTAGTCCACCAGTGCCTGCAGGCTCTTTACTCTCGCCTCCAAGTTGGATTTCTCTTTCGTATCCTTCTTCATCCGGTTGAACGTTCGATCCCGGTCCTCGCGGCTGTAGTACATGATGCATGCACTAGCCTTCCCGTCTCGGCCTGCACGACCGGCCTCCTGGTAGAAGCCCTCAAACGACTTCGGTAACTGCCAATGCACCACAAACCGTACGTCTTCCTTATCGATGCCCATTCCAAACGCCGTAGTTGCTACGATCACATCATAGCCCTCAAAGTTGTTGATCCACCGGTGCAGCGTATCATTCTTTTCTTCAGTGCTTAGTCCTGCGTGATAGGGCTTTGCTCCAATGCCACTTTTGCAGAGTCGAGCCGCCAGAGCTTCGCAGTCGCTCCGGTAGAGCGTGTAGATAATTCCAGACACGTTATTTGGGCGTTCATTGATGCGTTCGAGTTCCACTCGCCGTGCGGAGTTCTCGGCTCGCCGGCGGTGTACAGCCCGCAACCAGCCTAAGAAATCTGCATGTCCGTTAGCCTTCAAACGGCCAAGATTCGTCGGCGAGGGCACTTCTCGAACACGACGGCGATAAGCAGAAAGATGGCGACGGGATTCCTCACCACTGTAGTGATCGTCTTCATCGCTTTTGAATCGTACTTCGTAATGTAAGTTCTGCCGACTTGTGGTCATAGTGAAAACCTTCAGGTTCGACTGATCCAACTTGAGGATCGCAATGACATCGTTACGAACCTGTGCCGTTGCCGTGGCTGTAAGGCAGATGATTGGTACGTCGGGGAAGCTCTCGCGGAAGAAGCACAGTCCCTTGAATGACGGACGAAAGTCATGACCCCATTCTGAAATGCAGTGTGCCTCATCAACTGCGATGCGGGCGAGCTCCTGCTGCTCATGAACGACTCGTAGGTGCTTCCGAAAGTTCTCCGTGGCACACTGCTCCGGCGTGACATAGAGGAGGCGGGTGAGTGGATGACCAGTTGCAAGGTCTTGTAGCAAACGCTGGCGTTCGTCGTAAGGCGTGGTCCCGTTGATCGAGCCAGCCGCAATATCTGCAGCGCGTAAAGCGTTTACTTGGTCGGTCTGGGAAGGTCAGTCGACTGACTTGGAGTAGGAGGTGGCTTTTGTGCTTGCCATCAGAGAGAGGAGTGGTGAGATCACAATAGTGACTGTGGACGTCAGCTCTTTCCTCAAGGCCTATAAACGGGCTCATCGCTTACTGCCATGATCTATAATTGCTGGCAGTTGGAAGCACAGGCTCTTGCCGAAGCCTGTAGCTGCTTGAACAAAGACATCTCTTCCTGCAAGTGCTTCGACGATCACCTCGCGTTGTAGGGGCCTGAGGTCCCAGTTAGCTCGAGTACAATCCCCAACGCGGAATGCCGTACCTGAAAGAGCTTCGCTTAAACTTTCGCCGCAGAGTAAAGTCAATATCAACACACGAGTTGTTCCTTGACAGGGGAGGCATTGTGATCGGACCACACGTGACTAGAATCACGACGCCGCTACCTTCAGCAAGCTTGCTTCAAGGACACCATTCGCGTTGAAATCCGGCTTGTACATCCTCCGAGAGATTTTATGAAGTTCCGTGGGCTCGTATCTTGTGGGCTGTGAGGCTGGTGGTATGAAGGAGCTTGGGTTGTCGACGCGTCGAGGTTTAAAACAAGTCGGGCGGGCGGCCGCAATAACCGGGTCTCTTCTCGGCACAGGAAGCGACGGCCAAAATATAACAAAATATATCGCCGGAAAATGCGGTCGCGGTGGTATAAGTTTTGGAAAGATATTAAAACCGTAGTTGAAAGCTTCCAATAAGCTATGTTTAGGCAGAGTAAATTTCACGATACATATATTCAGCAAAATTGTTTATTTGGCATTCGACTACACCCTTAATATAGCCTCCCACATGCCTCCTTCGGACTCCCTAAGGTATGCTCTATTTCGTCGAGGGCGTTTTCTCACGTTCGTTACTAAACCAGAGTCACATTTATCCATTCCAATCATAGTTTAGACAGCCATAAAGCTCTTCACCGTCACTGAGCATTCGTTTAAGATTCTGGGCAAGCCTTAACTACCCCCCCCCCCCCCCACCTGTCCTCATTTTCAAATAGAGACTGTTTCTCAGACAGTCTTATGATCAAATGTATCCTTTCATTCACTCATTTATCAAGGATATGGAAGATACCAGTAAAAGTTCATTTGATCGTATATATGAATATCGTATCCATCGAAGACCACCCCTCCAAAGAGCCTCAAAAACCGTTCAAGGCATCTTGAACACGGAACACATCCCCTACAAAAGATCAGTAAATATTGAACTCACAAGCTCTATACGGTGAAAAATCGCTTACCAGTCTCGAAGAAATCAACCAGAATGACATTCGGCCGTCTTCCCCACTTTGAGCTGCAAAGAGCTGCTTGCGCACCAACACTTCCGTCTCCTTTCGCAGCGTTCGTTCTGTGCACCTCTACCGTGTCGGGGACCAGGACACTACCGAAGAGGTCGACGTCTAGGAAGTGGTTGACGATATACATGAGGCCGCTCCCGTCCGTTCCATCAGGTCTGTCGAGGGCACAAGACGAGAAGTCGTTGTCGGTGACATCGAACCCAGTTTCGAAGTAGTACGCAAACTCGTCCATGATGTACGGAACACTGGCTGTGTTCGCACCGTAGTCTGGAGAACGTGTCAGACTGGCCTTCCGACGGGAAGACTCCCTTACCAAGGAACACGACAAGTCGGGTCTTGGCATCGATGAGATGTTGCAGTGATGGCCAATCCGCCATGGCAAGGCGCTTGCCCGGAGCGTAGGCGTACGATGCCAGACCCGAGGTCTTCATGTCGGCGCCGAATTTGGCTACATCTACCCTATCTCCGTTCGTCAAGAGGAGCGAGACGACTTCGTTTGGGTGCGCATCCATCCACTTTTTGATAGTGGTCAGGTAAGACACAAGTGGACCTGCGTCCTTCAATAGACATGAGGTATGGCATAGTCTGAGGACGTCTCTCTCCATATGGGTCTGGGCCTGGAGAAACCGAATGCCACCATCAAGCTGCGAAGTGACAGATAGAAACTGGTTGTCTGTTCTCTGTGTCAATAGACGCTTATCTCGCGAGTGGGCTTTCCATCTCCTCGCGCGACTAACCTGTTGGCAAGACACCGACAAATGCCGAATCATGGGTACCGATCTGTGTTATGTTTGAGTACTTGCGAGAGCACAACTCAGTGTGACCATTGCATGATTTAGCGATAGTAGAGCCTAGGAGCGCGAACGAGGCGATGATGATGTTGAAGAGCATCTTGACTTGCGGTCGTCGATTTAAAAACTGCCAGAAGCTGCCACAAAACCACGGAATGAGAACGAGTTAGGTCAATTAAGTATGAGAAGAGGGAGCAGGTAAAGTAATTCCTTTGCGTATAGACTCTGGAGCCCAGCTTCTCAGGGAAACCGAGGGTCAACGGGCCACTTCCAGTCACCAGATGAGGTCATCACCGGCCGTTGTAGCAGGCTAAAGCATTCTATGATCTATTCAACTTACTCCGCACTTGCGAAAATCAGTACCGTACAGTATCTCGCGGTGTTGTACCTTTTTACTCAACTCGATGGTCACACGTTATGGAGGCCACCTGCACTTGAGAACCTTCGTCTTATAAGATGCCAGCTTGGCCCCCACAGCCTCGAATGGGATTCAGAGAAAGCATTCTCTCAGACTACAGGCCTGTCTATTCAAGCGTCCGCCCTGCCCGTGCCGGGAGCTATCTTGCTTGAGGGGCAGCACGCTACGATCCGACCGGATCGCCACTATGGTTCGCGCCCGCGATCATGCTGTGCCTGGCTGATTTGGCAGGGGCAGAAGCTGTATGAAATAGATTGAAATACGTGAAGAAACAATAGAGAGCCTCGAAAATAATGACAGGGAAAGATGATATTTCATGAAAACAGGCGACTGGCTGAGTGAGGTCGAAGATGATTGCGGATCACGAATTGAGAGTCTTGGCCGTCTGTCTCGGTCATATGTATGATGATGCGTATCGGGTTACTAGGCCTCGATAACCAGCCGGTAAGTCCGTGAGAGAATTATAGAAATTCCAGCTACCACTATAGTTAGTAAGCACTTTTATTCAAAATGTTATATGATATATAGCTGTGGTGAATAATTTTCCACGTTATTTTGTCTTGATTGATATTAGCGAGGATTATCTACTGCCAGTATGACCCCCTTCTTCTTTTAAATCTCCGAATACTTTTCAAGAGAACACCATAAGAGACTCCAACTCCTCCAACATTGAGCTATCTTCAATATAGTCTCGATTTGCTAATGCAGGAGCGTTAAGTATACATCGATGGAGGACTCCATATTTGATAATCGAATCACAGTAAAAAAAGGGATTAGAGGACTGACCGACACACGAGGGGCTCTATAGACGCAATACGGAAGAGAGCTATGGTTAAATCGGATGCATTAGTACGCTAGCTGTCTCGAAATAGCTAGGTAGATGAATGAATTCATCGAACACATTATATCCGTCTCGACAGCGAAATCCAAACGACAATAAGAGTTCAAGCCTCAATTCTGACGAGGGATCTAACCTTTGAGTCGGCTGCCATTGTGGCAAACGTGCTCGAAGTTGGTGTATTTGCTCCGCTTCTTAATGCTTTCTTTAAGCAGAGAGGAAGAGGGCCAAGAGAGCTGTATTGATTCCGAGATAAGATGGTGTGTCAAAGATCTCGAGAAGACACGATGTCACTGACTTATATAGATAACGTATGCTTCTCAACTAATATCCTTTCGACAGGTGTGCCAAGCATCAGCAATTGAGCCTCCCTATCGACGTTCGTTCACCTCTAGTCCTGCAGCTTGTAAGCAATCCGTAAGCACGTAGCGCGAGCGGAAGGATAAAAACTCACAGATGTAGACGATATTTCTCGAGAATTACACCATGAAATTGAACCCAAGATTGGGCGTGGCCACAGGCACAGCTTGCATCATGCTCAGAGTTCGGAGAATCCTTTCTATCTTACAGTAACTTCAAAGTCTGGAATCGGAAAGGCAGGAAAGAAAAATAGAGAATATCAAAGATTTAAGCTTCTGCTGCTCAAGACCCACACAGCCTATATATTGACACGTATTGAATGGGTAATGGTGTTTTGACAACAGCGACTTAAACGACAGCACATCCGCGATTTTAATCTCCAACTCAAAACTCAGCCGGAAGAGAAAAAGATGCGCTCATTTTGGTGCAGCTCTCCTCGGAAGCGCTCATTTCGTATTGGTCATCTGATTTATTGCCAATCATCCCAAGCCTCGGGAACTTCTCCATCCATAGTAAGTATAAGTTAATAGCACGACAGCTTCGCATTCACACTCGCGGCCGCCATCAACGAAATGAATCCAATTAACGACCTCCATTCAGTATAACCTCCGAGCCCAACTCGAGACTTCGACTTTTCAAGTGAATAATATATATCGTCGTCGAACATATCGTCATGCCCTCCATCCGCCTTTTCTTGGATCACCTCGAAGATGCATTGGAGTCCGATCACCTTCCGTGGGGCCAAATTTGATACCCACTGCAGGCGGCAAAGTATTTAGGCACTAGCAACATCTTTCAAAAAACCGTGAAGCCATGTCTGCAAGCAGGTATTGATATTTCTCAAAGCAAAGCAAGACCAATTGTGAGACTTCGATTCGTGTATCTTGATGGCTGTGATAATTGGGCGTGGGAGGTGGGGGGCCTAAGAGCTGATACTAGGGGGGGGCAGTTATGTAGAAGAGAAGAGGAGAGGAGAGGGAAGAATGGATGGATGATTGAGATAGGGTAGGAGGTAGGAGAAGTGGGTTGAGATTGATTTGGAACTGTCAGGAAGGAAAGAAGGAATGAATAAATGAATTAATAAGAACAAAAGGGTTTGTATTTCTTTGGTTCATCTAACATAATGATTACAGTTTTCGCATACCTCCATTGGTACCCATAATCCACCTAGCAAGATGATACCATACATGTGTACAGTTCCCCCAGATTCACCCTTCATTCATACAAAGTCCATCATAATACATTACAAGTCTACAAGCAGCCTCTGGCCCCTGCCGAACCTGTGATCTGTCAACATATCAGTGCCCTCCCCTCCCCATGCCTCCTCCCCGTCCTCCACGTCCCCCTCTCACACCTCGCCGACCACCACCCCTCTTAAATCTGAAATCATACATACCATCCTTCCCCGGCTTTGGCGCCGGTATGAACAAGATTCGCGGCCTAACTTCCACCCCGGGCTCCTTCTCCTTGCGCAAATACATAGCCTGCTGCTGCGTAAACGGGATACTTACATACCCCTTCGCAACCGCCGCTTGCATCCTCTCCCTCAGAAAGCCCGTGAATCTCGCCTTGGTCGTGCCCGGAATGTCCATGATCGCCAAGAAGTCCCGGAACGAGTCCACCTGGCTGATCTCCTTAATCGTGTCCGCGAGGTAGGCCGCTCCGCCCGGCGGCGGCGCGCCATACCGCGCGAAGGCGTTGTCGCGGAGTTTGGACAGTGGTTTCTTCGGAGCCGAGCGCGGTCCCCCGGAAGATGTGGATGAACATGAGCAGGCGGTAGGAGGTCTTGGATGCGTCGAACGTTTTCTGCAGCCGGTAATCCGAGACGGCAGTTGGTTCCCCGTAAGCTAGTTCGGAGTTCTGCTGCAGCACGCGGATCGTGTTCCTGGTGATGACTTCCGTGATGACGGCTTGCGTCAGCCGGGCAGAGGTATCGATGTCGGCGAGGAGAGTGGCGATCATGAAATGCCCGATGTTGCTGATGTGCCTCTTGTCCACGTTGCCCTCTTCGGCCGAGAACAAGAGCTCGTTGGCGAATTTCACTATCTCGGGCTCTTCGCGAGCGATGCAGACCAATAGATGGAAGACGTGGAAGTAGCTTTCGATGGCTTTCTCGGAGGCGTAGGTCAGTGTCCTCTTTGCCGTTTCTTCGTACGGGTAGACGGGGGATCTGTAGGTTATTTGCTCGAGCTCTTTGGATAGTTTAATAAGGATGTCGTTAAGAAACTTGAAGAGTACGTAGTCGCTCGTTACGTTGCCGTAGTTCTGGATGCCAAAAATTTGACGGAGTCAAGTGTCGACGTCGTCTCTCACTCTCTCCCAATGGAACCTGGAGATAGGGATGGGAAGCCAATATTTAAAAGGGACGCCTTAGATTGAGCGGTTAACGCCTATTGGTAAGGTTAACCGAAAATTAGGCTCGCAGAATTTGAGAACCCGCTTGAGGAAAGACCGTCTGAAAACAATGAATATCGAGAGAATGTTATGGCATCTACCAAGATCGAACGCTACATCAGAGAGGATATCAAATTCCGACACAACCCAATCCATATTCCCCTTTTCCTCTTTCGAAGTGTTGACACCAATCCCTAGCTTAGCCTCCAAAAAATCCTTCTTCAGGCAAAAGCACCTCAACTCACGAGTCCGGATGACATTGTACTCATTGACGACATCCTCGACTCTGGGCCACGCCTCAGCAAAAGCAAGCAATTCTTCAGTCTCCAATAGCCCAAAGATCATCAGGAGCATCTAGTCAGGAAGTTGTGCCGACTGGATGGCAGATTTCGTCACACCGGGTGTGAATTGCGACACAGGTACAACGACACGAGTGACAAGTTTTGAAATGCTCTCAACGTCCCGAGAAATGTAGTTTAATTTGCCAAATTGACATCTGCCGCAATGATGGGGCGGATCTTCACTATTCTGATCCCTGAAAGCATCCAATTCAAAGAAGAAATCCCCACCCACCTGCGCACCCACCTTGATCTTCATCCTTCATTCTCGGGACCAAAAATCGTCCTACCTACTGTATCCTGTCACTCGAATAGAAATTCGACAGCTGAATGGCAATGCCCTTCAACGTGTACGCGCTGGTATAACCCATTTGCGTATCCAAGATGGAAGCACATGTATGGCCCATATCTTCAGACTTGATATTTGGATGTGTCACTTTAGAGTCCATGCGGTTGTTCGGGGGTGTTCGGGGGTAGTTGGCGGAGAAGAGGATGGTGAGGTGCATCGGGCCGTAGTGCTCGACGGTAAGAATCAGGCACGCGGCGGAGAGGTCATCGTCGTAGAGGTGCAAGTAGATATTTGGATAGGGCTGGGTTTGCAGCTCGGCGATGTCTTAGAGGAGACGATGGCCGGGGGCTGGGTGTGCCATGGTGGTGACAGCTCGGGTCGGGTCTGTATATTGAGCCGGATATGATTTTGGACACAGGTTAGAGGAAGTAAGCAAGAAATCTGTTTTGAAGTCGACATGATTGGAAGTGGAGATGTCGAGATGTCGAAAAGACGAGTGAGTACGAAGTGGAATCCGAAGTAGCGGATATCTCCTGAAACTTGAATCGAGCGGATTTTTTATGTGGAGAGAGCCGGGGGAAGCGACCATGGCGCTTGAAGATCCGGAGAAGCCATTCTGGATGAACCGGATACTCGGGATATTAGCAATAAGCGCGACAGATAGCCGCGATAGATAGCCGCGAAAGTTCGACCCTGATCTACGTCGGCGATAAGATGGAAATTGAAAAACGTGACTGATGGATTTATTGACTTTTAGATCCGAGTAAGGTATGTAGTAATGCCATTTGACACATTTCACCAAATTCACCTTGAACAATCCCATATTCAACAATCCTATATTCAACATTCAACCTCCAACATTCAACCTTCAACCTTCAACCTCCAGCCCATCTATCCATCCATCTAATGCCTCTTCCACTCTCCCATGGAGAGTAAGAGAGTACCAACAGAACAGGATGGCAGCCCTCTCCCGTTGTCCTCTTCATGACCTCGCCGACGAGCTTCTCGTCGGGATCGTCGCCCAAGTCGGATCCAAGAAAGACCTCTGCAGCCTCGCGGTCACGTGTTCACGACTCCAAGCCTTCGCCGAACCACGCATCTACGAAGACTATCTCGTCCGACACGGGAGCCATGTTCTCCGGATTCTCGATTGCGTCGCCAAACGGCCAGAGCGTGCATTGGCAATTCGCGCCCTTCATATCCAGTACCCGAGCCGCGACAGAGCCGGTATCACCTTCCTGAATCCCGTGATGAGACAGATGCTCAATCTGAGAGAACTGACCATCGAGGCCCCGTGCTGCAATGATCCCTCGAACTTGATGTTGTCAGAATATTTCCATCATGAAGGGAAAATCCAATATGCGGATTACTTCACTTGGGCGTCGGAGATGGTTCGAGAGACGACCCCGATGAGTACACAGCTGAGAGTTCGGGTGCCGCTTCAAACCTGTAAGGTCCATTTGATGTAGAATATATATTCTCATAATTATTGTGGAAATGTTCTGATCTTCAAATCTAGTCACACTCCACAGTCACATGGCCTCACTCAGGGACCGCAGGACCGGCCAGATACAGGGAAGAGATGCCTTCAACATGGGCAAGAACGCCGCCATATTCCTCCATCCAACGCTACGCAATCTCACCATATCCTGCTTTGACATCAACGAGGATATCGCACCTATCCTTTCACCGAAGTACGGCTCTACTCCCCTCAAAAGCCTCACATTCGATGAATGCAATATCAAAGTCGAAGGTCTCGCAGCCATCCTCTCGGTACCCAAAGCACTCGAGCGACTGACCCTCGGCGAAAGAATGCACTGCCTGGAAGGCTACTTGCACAGCCCACTAGGGACTAATCCAGCTCCATTCTTAGATGCCCTCGCGCTCCAAGAACACTCTCTTCAATTTATTAAGCACATCGGCGGTCATACCCCCTTCCCAGCTCACCACAGCAGGAAACTGTCCATGGCTAATTTCACTCAAATTACTAAGATGGAGCTTGATCTACATTCAGCGCTGGCCAATATATTGAGTGAAACAGCACCACCATGGTCATTGACCGCACCCCCCAACCTCCATCTTCGCCTGATCCGCTGTACCTCGGCATCAACGAAGGAGAAGACAACGCCGCAGAGAATGCTTGAGTGGCTCCGTCGGGTCCCAGAACTCGATTACATCCTCGAAAACGATGTTATACCGCGAAACCACGCAGTCACAGAACTCTGGTATTGCGAAGCATGCACCGAAACATGGGCCGAGATCGCAGAGTTCCTGGCTCCGCAAGGACAGCCTCAGATCTCCACTGATCAGCGGCGGTTGAGGGTCTTTGTCTTGGAGAGTACAGGATTTATCCCGCCATACATGCTGGGCGAGCCTCGGCCTGTGGAGACTCTACTTTATGATTCATCTGTCCATGGACATGACGGGGTAAATGGAGATTGAGGAGTAAAATATACCGTGCGAACTTACGGCGGGACAAAGATGTAGTACGGAGCAACCCTGTACCTTCCCGGAACAGGAGACTTCTTAGTACCCTATGGCTGGACGAGACTGAAGGATGATCTTGAACCTGGCACTCAAATCCACCTGATCGGCAGCAATCGCTGCCAATCGTGGTGAACGTGCGGAAGGAACCTATTGCCAGGTACCGTTACACAAATTTCGGTAACATTTCTGCTCAAAAATAGCCTAGCATTTGACATCCATATTGAAGCATGGAGATGTCTTTGCCCTGGGGATGCTTCCCGGCCACCTGTGGCGCCGCATATGGAGCATCAGGTTCCGGTCGTGGCAAAAGCCCATCATTAGGAACCAAACAATATTCTAAATAAACAATCTACCCCGGATCTCTGACCTCAAAACGAAATGGGATGATGCGTGAGAGTGAAGAGTGAAGACTGAAGACTGAAGACTGAAAGCTCGCTTCTCAAAACGTCCTAGCTCCGTATATTTATCTACCTTATCTTAACCTCATGTATTCAGCAATGAAACTCCATTCAAACGACAGTGACATTTTCGGCACATCGAGCCCGCAACACCATGAAATTTCAATATCCGCCCTGATTCAAGTATCAAATATTAATGATTAGATAATATGATTTCAACATCCGCTTTACCAAATGCATACCGCACCCTGCTCAGCCGCCACCGCCTCACCCCGAGCCTCGCCCAAGCAGCGCTGGTCACGCGTCTCAGCAGGCTCCAATGCGACCTGCAAAACACCCCCCAAAACACCTCCCTGAACCTGAGAGGCATCTACATTCACGGCTCAGTTGGGACGGGCAAGTCCAGGATCGCCGACCTCTTCGCCTCCACGCTCCCGCCCAGCATCTCCCACCGACGGCTGCACTTCCACGAGTTTATGATGGACGTGCACTCGCGCCTGCACGTCGCGCGCTCCTCCCCGACCTTCGCCGGCGACCCCCTGATTGCCATCGGGCGGCAGGTGGCGGAGGAGAGCCGGGTGCTATGCTTCGACGAGTTCCAGGTGACGGACATTGCGGACGCGCTGATCCTCCAGAGGCTGTTTGGGGCCGTGTGGGAGCGGGGCGGGGTGATGGTTGCGACGAGTAATCGCGTGCCCGAGGGCTTGTACGAGAGGGGACTCAATAGGGAGTTGTTCCTTCCCTTTATCGCGACGCTGCGGGAGCGGTGTGAAGTGTGGGAACTGCAGGGAAAAGAGGATTACAGGATGAGAAGTAGGGCAGCGGATGGGGGAAGAAGAGAGGCTGTTTTCTTTACTGATCACAAGGACTTTGAGAGGAGTTTAGACGAGGCAACGGGGGGTGTCCGGCTAGAGGAGAAGGTTATCCCGGTGCTCATGAGCAGGCAGCTTCGGGTCATGGCTGCGGAGGAGTCGGCTGAGGGCAGAGGGGGCAGAGGGGGCTTGGTCGTCCGTTCACGCTTCGAGGATCTATGCGAGAACTTCCTCGGATCGCCGGACTATTACGCGCTGTGTAAAGCCAGCTCCGTGATCTACCTGTCCGGCCTGCGCCAGTTCCGGGCCGACGAGCTTGATTTTGTGCGGAGATTCATCACGCTTGTCGATCTCGCGTACGAGGCGAAGACGAGGGTCATCTGCTCATCGTCGGTCCCGCTGTTTGAGGTCTTCGCCAACATCGTACCTCGACAGATCCGTGTTGGGGGAGACCTGAGGGACGAGCTGGGCAGGCAGATGAGTGTCAAGGGAGAGGGGGGTAGTAGCTCTAGTATGATGAGCACGTTCATCGGGGAGATGGAGTGGAGCGCTACAGGACTTGCGGAGGCCTCACTGGCGACTGGAGGCGCGGGGGAGAGCGATGTTGGGTTTGCGGTTGGGAGGGCAGTGTCCCGGCTGTATGAGATGGGGAGTACGGAGTATGGTATTACGGATTGAACATGCGGAGCCGAGAGGCCGTCGCCATGGTGTGACTGTGTGAGCGTTGTGAGAAGGATCATCTGACGCTTCATTTACGCTCAGCATCTTAGGCCTTCTGATGTCGCAAACAGACTGGGCCCGACCGACTTGGTTGAAAGGCCCGTCCTGGATTCGAGTAAACCAAGGCAGGAGAAGGCCGGATGGCCCGAGACGGCAATACGAAACCGGCGTCGTCGCAGTCCGGGTCATGTGGTGATTGTGTTGCCTGGAGAATGGATTTCGCATCGGTTCTCAAAGCCCAAGCTCACAGTACACAAATGTCCATTCAGGCTGCAAGCTCAGAGCCAAGCAAGTATATCCGTCCCGTTGACTACGAAGCGGAACTCCTTCGCCGTCCCTGATCGCAGTCTCCTTTCCATCTGGCGTCACAGCAGTTAAATACACACATCTATACATACATACACAGTCATTCGCTTCCGTCACTTTGGAAGCGAATAAACAAGTCGTCGTACACGGCGCCGCGAATCTCGAAATAAAACAGACTCGTCGAATCTATTTGGGATGCACTAGGACCCGTTATGTATATTGCTAGGCTTTTTTCGGGTCCAATCAGGGGTCCGCTCAAACCTCATATTGTCTGTTGTCACTTATTGGGCTTTTGAGATTTTAATATCCTACTTCATACACTGGGATAATATATAAGAGATAAGATCGCGGACCTTGGGAGGTTCCTTCCCTCGTAACATAACGCTGGCAGTCCGGCAAGTCAATACGATAGATGTTCCGTTCCTCCGACCCACTAACTAGTACTGTGCGTTAAAAGCTCTCACTCCCTCTTCTCTCTCTCTCTCTCTCTCTCTGTCTCTCTCCACCCCCCCCAACCATACTCCGACCTTCTCAGTCTCATCTTTCTGCCCTTCTGCATTGAAGTCTCAAATCTCTCTCTGTGTGTCTGTCTCTGGACACTCCAACCTCCTCAGTCTCTCCCGTCTGTCTTTCTGCATTGAAGTCTCGACCATGACTTCAGCGACGGTTCGAAATCGAGGTAAGTTCATTACCCATTGCAAATCCTAGGATGGCTAGTCCCCCCCCAGATAGGCGTTGACGCTGAGCCCCTTCTTCTAGGAATATCGCACCCAGGTAAAGATACTGTCGAGGCCCTCGCTTTTTACCTTCCCGACTGACTCTGCTCCGTAGCAAAGGCATGAGCACCGAACCAGGAAGTAAGTTTGGAGTGAAATGAAGAGCTCTGATAGATTACTATCACACTCAGTAAGTTTTATTGCTTGCTCTCGTCCTGGTGTGGTGCAGATGCTGATCTTCTGTTCTAAGCGAAGGAGCTCCAGAAGCATCGCCATCATCATCACCGAGCAGCGGGCCAGCGACCCGGTCCTCAAGCCCATCATCGATTGAGGACCGAATGAATGCACTGAGCCATCTGGGATTGGGGCTCTGGGACTACGAGACGAACCTCCGGACATTCAAATGTCTAATAGAGGCAATCAATTGCTTAGAGAGAGAATTCGGCCGGAAGCAGAAAGAAACTCCTCACCACCCTCCTTTTTTTCCCCTTCTGAACTATTCCCTACCTTCGACGATAAGAGTTGCAAGGAGGACTGATGGGGAAGGATTACATAGGACGTCAAATTGCATATCTGCACGGCACAAATTCCGTAATCAAAGCGACAATGTTCTCATTGCAAAGTGCACCTCGACTTTCTCCTCCTTCCCCTCCCGCTGCGACTTCCACCCCTTTCTTCTCTCGACCCACCACTATCTAAACCCCAAGCCCTCAACTCGTCACGCGAAGGCTTCCAACCAGTCTTCATCTCCTTACTCACGGCCCTCTCGACCTCCAAATTATGTGGCCAAGTGACTGCACTTGCAAGGTCTTTTTGAATGGCCACCATCGCCTTGATCCAAGGTGGTCCATTCCCAGCGCCCAAACCACCTCTATTTGCGCTAGCTTTCTTCTTGCAGACCTCGATGCACTCGCAGCTGTAGCATCGAAAAAATGCATGCGACATCTCTACCAGCAAGGTGGAGATCTGGGCGTGGGCGCGAGTTGCCGCCCCGTTACGTACATATGCCATATTGATATTTATCGTCCGAGATTCCCGGTCATAGAACCCTGGCTTGCCGTCCTTATCTCTGAAGATGACCGGCCTCGGCGTGATACTCTGTCCCACGAGATCAAAGAAGTAGGCCCTGTCGAGGATCGAGAAGAAGACCGCCATCAACCCCGCCGCCTTGGTCTCGTCATCGACCACCATCTCGCCGCCCGCGCGCTGCAGTGCGGCCAGCATGTTCGCATTGAGCCGCTCGGCGATGGGCTTCCGGGCGTTGGAAACGACCGCGCGCGATAGGTTCGACGACGTGTACCTCTTCCCCTTTGGGTTCTCCACGTCGTCCATGATCTTGAAGTGCTCCGGGCTGTTGTTTCTGCCGCGGCCTTCTGCTGGCACGGCGCCTGTTTCTTCTCCGGGCATCGCGGCCGGCTCGTACTCTCTGCGGAACGGGCGCGGCCCATGCGGCTGCTGCTGCTGCTGCTGCTGCTGCCGTCGTCTGGAGCCCCCAGCCCCGGATGTGCCCACTCGTGGGTAGGCTCTGCCTGGTCGCCTGCGGCTTTCTCGTGACGGCATCTTGGTTGGTTTTCTGTGGGAGTGTTCGGTTTGGTTCGTGCAAGTTGCTGTTCGTTTTTTTTTTCCTTATTCTTTTCTCTAGAACTCCAGAGGGCATACCTACCTACCTACCTATCTATCTATCTATATACATGCACTAGAGCATCTGTTTCGCCGGAAATGGAACAGCAGTTTGTCATCAGCTGGTTGCGTCTGCGTTTTCCCTTGTTTTCTTTTCCCATGTCTTCGATGCCCGCCAACGACTAAGCGAGCTTTGCTTTGCTTTGTTTATTTGTTCAGTTCAGCCCTCGCTTGTGGTTCATTCCGCTACTTGAGAATCCTGCTTCCATTGTAATGTCTGTCGAGAATTCTTGGTATTCGAGAGCGTCTGCGTCGCTGTCTATTCATCTAGATCTGAGCGGTTAAACTAGGTAGCTAGATAATTATGATGAGGCCCCGGATGCAAGACGACAGACAGCAAGGAAGAAGAAGAAAAAAAACCCTAAATCTGGATTTGTCTTTGGGTTTGATAATTTTGATAATAATATGCAACAATCTTGGCTGTTTATTCATCACAGAACTTTGTACTTCAAACCCTGGGTATAACATGTCAAAAGTCATCCATTCTCTCATGCTTTCTCCCTATAATAGGGCCCATCTCTAATATTCTCCGGAATCCTTCCCTTGCCATACTTATCCGTCGCTATCAAGATCCATACCGCTTCTCCTTGATCCTGTCCTGTCCGAGCAGCCCCCTCCAGACTCTTTTCTCAGAGTCCGCAGGTAGGTAGAGAATCGGTCCAAACCCCGCGAAACCGTCTGTCCGCCAGGGTCGACGCTTCCGCGGACGGTATCTCACCCCGAGGGAGAGCTCGTACACGGAGGGCTCTGAGGTCGTAGCGGCATTTCGTGTACCGTCCAGGCCCACTGTGGGGTGGGTGCTCATGGCATGGCAAGTTCTTTTCTGAGCGCCGCTGCATTGCCCGGGTATTTTGCTGCTCAAGGGTTTTGGCTTTTGTGAAGAGGGAGCTCCCCATCTTGACATTTTCAAGAGATAGAGTGTAGCTAGCGACTGGGCGACGCGAAGCCTGTGATTGAAAGAGGAACAGCGTAGATTTTTGATGAATACATATGCTCGGTTCTGATTCTTGAGGTCGGAGTTCGGGCTGCTGTGCGAGAAGAGCTTTATATATGGGTGTCGGGTGATCTCTTTCCCTTTTGTTGGGAAGTGAAAATATAACGTGATATTATAGAGGTAGCGTCAAGCCATGCCATGCCCTTATGGGCGTCCTTAATTGATTAATTTAGGTAGCGTTTAACAGAGAGATCAGCTGAAGGATATATAGATACCGCTAGAAATCAAAGGAGGTATTGCGCCGCTGGAACCAACGCTACGGGGTCACCCGTAGTAGGTGGTCACGCCTACAGACCATCAGATCAGGGTATCTGAAAGAAAGCCTCTGAATAACCACCGTAACTAACCCTTCTGCTGAGCTGCATAGGCATAATGATGATCCCAAAATACGCGATGTTGATAGGTAGATAAACACCCTCGTTCGAGCGAAACAGACAATATTATAATCAGGTACCTAACTATACCCGAAAGTGAATGTGGGTAAATAAACCCCTCGCTAAAAGAAACCGAACGCCAGGAAAAAGAAGATTACTTGGATAACATAGAGAATAATGACAACGAACTCGCTGATAGGTACCTAGACTTCATACTTGACTTGCCTACTTGAAGAATATATGCTTAGACATTATGAACATCCAATCGTCTAAAAGCATTTGATTCGAGCTTGGCTGAGCCTTGCATACTGCTGCTGCTTTATTTCCCTTCTCTTCTCTCTGAAGTTTGATCTATAAGGAAGTTAGAGCTTCGTTTGTACGGACAACACTCTGTCCGACGAAAGATCACGGCCTTTGAGATGTTGACACGTGATACCAACACGTGTGAGAGGACCTTTCTCCGGATTGCCGTCATACGCCGATGGATAGTGACTTTCTACTGTCGGTCGGCAATTGCCGGGGACTGACGACGGCGGGGTCAAGATTTTACTCTATTCACCGTTCTACCGGTACATATCTCATCCCGTGCGCTCGGTTCCTCTCGATACAATTCTCCCCCGCATGATTATTTCTGCATCTTCCGTACCACAGACTGGATTATTTATCATACAAAACCTGAGATATCCAATCCTAGCCTTGATTTCCGGCTCGTTGAATCGGCTGTGCTAAAGATGGGGAAGCCGGCGTTGTTACTCATTGGGGATCTCGCGCACGCGCAGAAGGAATGGTCCGAGTTTGCAAGCTTTGGAGAGCTGAAGGTGTGTATGATTTTCGCCCGAATTTACTTGGCGTAGAAAGAATGCTTCTCTTTTCACAGTCGATCCTGGCTGACGCGGTATCTCACAGGAATTTTCTGGATCAAAAACCCGAGCAGATTTCGTCAAGGAATTAGAGAGCGGGCGTTTTAACGATGTTGTCGCGTTGTACAGAAGCAACGATTCCACGAAGGTAACTACTATTCATCCAGTCCGCCGACTATGGCTTGATTTGAAAAGCCAATTTCTGACTGAAATTGTCTAGATCACAGGAGAATTCGACCAAGAGCTCGTCTCCAAACTCCCGCCATCTCTGAAATACATCTGTCACAACGGAGCAGGGTACGATAATATTGACATCGATGCATGCACCGCCAAAGGTAGATAGAAAATCGATATATTCTCTCTCACTTTTTATCTTTAGAACTCAGCTCTGACAAAGCGTCAGGCATCCAAGTATCATCCACCCCCGTCGCCGTCAACTCGGCCACAGCTGACATCGCCATCTTCCTGATGCTCGGTGCCCTCCGCCGGATCCACTTGCCCTACAGCGCCGTCCGCTCCTCCAACTGGCGCGGGTCCGCCTTCCAACTCGGCCACGACCCCGAGAAGAAAGTCCTCGGTATCCTCGGCATGGGTGGAATCGGCCGCGAGGTTGCGGCTCGTGGCCGCGCCTTCGGCATGACGATCCACTACCACAACCGTACCCAGCTCTCTCCCGAATTGGAGCAAGGTGCTAAATACGTGAGTTTCGAGGAGCTGCTCAGGACGAGCGATGTGCTCAGCCTGAACTGCAGTCTGAGAAAGGAGACGGTGAGGATCATTGGGAAGAAGGAGTTTGCGTTGATGAAGAAGGGTGTCGTGCTTGTGAACACGGCGAGGGGGAAGCTGATTGACGAGAATGCGCTGGTTGAGGCGCTTGCGGAGGGGAAGGTGTTCAGTGCGGGCTTGGACGTCTACGAGGAGGAGCCGAGGATCCATGAAGGGCTCCTGAACAACCCGAATGTCGTTTTGCTGCCGCATATCGGGACTGCGACGATGGAGACGCAGGTACGCCACCTCTGCCTTCCTACGAAGTTTTGCGGCTTGCTAATCATCTTGACAGAGAGACATGGAACTTTTGGTCCTGGAGAACATCGAGACGGCCGTCAAGAAGGGAAAGCTCGTTACCCAAGTATCGGAGCAAGTGCAAGCGAATAAGTCGAGGATGTAGAAGAGAATTTCGAAAAGATCAGTTTCGCTCTCGGGCGCTGAGTAGTCAGGGTTCTTCCTGCTTGATGAATGTGTTGCCTATCATACTTTTTCGTGAGGGGGACCTGTACTTGGACGAGAAAACACATCATAATACTCAATGCTATTCCGCCTGCAGGCAGAGCACGTGGCCCTTTGGAATATCAGCCGGATACCTGCTTATTTATATAAGGTATATATATATATATATATATATGCATGCGTGTAAGCTCGCAATGCATGCTACATATTATCTACATACCTACACTTCTGCACTTGATATACCACCAGTCAAAAAACAACCGAGTTTTCCCATCCATCCATCCATCCACCTATCAATCGTCGCATCAAGTAATCTCCCCTCTTGAAAAGAAAAGAAGAGAAAGAAGAAGAAAAAGTGTTATCTGAAAAGTACCTAGTCGTTCAATGCACCAAGCCTATTTAAGGTATCTAATTCTAACTCACATCACAATCCAATCAATCTAGGAGGAATATATCTCTTTTTTTTTAAACAGGCGCACAAAGCAATCATACATACATTCATTCACTTATTCATATATTCGCAGCATCTCCCCATCTCATCAGTAATAAAAAGATGAGATGCTCAAGAAAGAAAAACGAAATCACGCTTATAAACAATCGAGTTCTTTTTTTTTTTTTTTTCCTTGCCTTATCTGTTATCGCCCCGCACTCACTTGCCCCTCCCACAGACACAGACACACACCCTTGTCCAGTCCAAAATTTTTGTCAGTGATTATAATACTAAAGCCCGTCCGGGTGCCATCCCACCATCGTTTGAGATGGAGAGTGACAAGGTCTGCTGGCGCAATGGTAGCGCGCAAGACTTCTACACTGCACCCGTTATGCGTTGACACCACCCATGAGGAGACGTCCGTTCAGGAGAGCAGTTAGATGGTATCTTGAGGCTGTGGGTTCGAGTCCCACGTAGATCAGCTTTTTTTTTTTTTTTTCATTTTTCAAAGATGAAAATGATGGATGGGAAACTTTTACTAGTTATATAAATATCTTTTTTTTTTTGCTTTTTTTTGCTTTTTTTTTTGGTGAAAGTGGAAGAAGAGGATTGTACACACAGAGAGAGACAGAGGAAGGAAGCGATGGGCTTCATCTTCTAAGGATAGATAGATAGAATTTCTTCTATTCTTTTCTCAGCGAGAGATTCCGGCTACGGATAGTCGTGTATTAATAAATGCTAGCTAGGTATTAAATTCAGGACTCTAGTTTGACCTTCTGAAAAAAAAAATATATATATATCGAGGCGAAAAGTCATAAAAAAGAAAATAGGTCTCACCATCACGTGCTTTTGCTACACTAGGCACGTGGCTATGTCATGTGTACTCGCCTATATACCTAGACGAGTACCTAGACGAGTAGCTGGGTCCTCCTTGAACCATCACCACCACCATCATCATCATCATCATGTATATATATAGTATCAAACCACGACGAATAGACATCACCTCTTCTCTCCTCCCTTTCACGTATGATTCTACTATGACTATATATATATGATTTTTTTTTTTTTTTTTTTTTAATATTATTCGCAGTTAAGCAAGTAAGCAAGCAAGCAAGCAAATGCTGGATGGAGCTTTTCTCTTTCCCCTCCACCACACCACCTTATCTATCTATGCCCAGTGTGCATTCATTCATTCATTCACGGACGGGGCGTTCTTGACTTTAACTACCGTGGTTGTGCCGCGTCAGGTACGTACGGTATCTATCTCCTCCTCTCTCTTTAGGGGAAGAAGAGTCTGCTGTGGAAAAGAGTAAAATTTGCGGAATCGGAGGTTTCAGCAAGGAAGGAAGGAAGGAAGCAAGTAAGTAAGTAAGTAAGCAAGTAAGTAAGCAAGCAAGCAAGCAAGCAAGCAAGATAGATGGATGGATAGATGGACGCGGCCTCAGTCTTGATATGTATGGGCTGGGCGGATGGATGGATGATTGATTGGCTGACTTGCTGGCTGACTGACTGACTGGCGAGAAAGAAAGAAATCTTGAGATAGGAAAGAGCATTGATGTAACCCTCGTTTGTGACTTGGGAAGTAAGGTAGGTATTAGATATGTTCTGTTGAGATGTATGTATGCTAGGTATGTATTGTCCATGCGCATTCGCTACGCATCGCAGACCGACCGCATCAGCGAGCCAGTCAGGCAGGCGCTGCGAAGTGGTAGCGATCAGCGACAGGATAGCGGTATACGCCCTTTACCCAATCAATGCAAAGGAAGTATCCAAGCAGAAAGCCATTTAGCGCACTACCTACTGAAGGGCGACTTGGCTACTGCATCATCGGTTGAGAAGTTGAAGTTGAACTTGAGCTTGAACTTGAACTCAGCTCCCTAACTGTCCGTCTCTGGAATGTGCTGCATTTCAAGCTGCGTGGAATACCTATGGTGCATGACCGTGACAAGAACATGTTGAACGGCACGTATGTGTTTCACAGACGGGGAGGAGCAACCACGGAGAGAGAGAGAAACCGAAAGGTAGTATAGTAATAGCATTTCTATTCAGCAGATACATCTATGCCATCGCTAAAGTCGCATCAAGCGTGGACCATGTCGTTGTAGGCAGCCAGCCCCCAAGGTCAGAGGAAGCCATCGTGCGATACCAGACCATAGCATACCATCACCAAAGCCGTACAGGAGAAGAGCCCGTCCCGAAAAATATCTACACACAAACAAGTACATACACAGCTACGTACTGTACAAAGCTCGAAAGAGAAGAAGAAGATTAGTCTACGCGGTGGCGGTCAGGCTCTTCATGCCAGCCTGGAGCGCCAGGATGCGGCTCCAGTCGTAGCTGTCCTGGGTCAGACTCCAGGCCATGACGCCGGCGAGTCCGCGCGCCTTGATGATCTGCTCGAACTTGCGGGCGATCATGGCGGCGTCGTCCCAGGTCCAGAAGACGCTGTTGGTCTCGTCGTAGTAGTACATGCCGCCGGCCTCCTCGTCGAGCACACCGTTGGCCATGGCGGTCTGGAAGAGCTCCGCCACGGTGGGCTGGTCGGTGTCGCACAGGCCGAAGGTCTTGAGGCAGTTGGAGCCGCAGAAGTCGGCCGAGTCGCCGCAGAAGCCGAACTGGCTGCAGCAGTTGCCGCTCGTGCAGCGGTAGCCGGCGGTGGCGCCGCAGGAGCCGTCGGGGGACTCGGGCAGGTTGGTGCCGTCGGCGGGGGGCGCGTAGCTCGACGTCTCGAAGGTGACGGTGCCGCTCTCGCCGGTGTCCTGGCCGGCGGCGTCTTCCAGGAGGACGGTGCGGCAGCCGAGGCCGCCGTCGCAGCCGGCCTCCTTGTCGACGGAGGCCCACTTGGCGTAGAAGGGGACGCCGAGGACGGCCTTCGCGGGGGGGAGGCCGAGCGTGCCGATGTAGTAGTCGACGGCGGCGAGCGAGCCCACGACGTCCGCGTGGTGCTTGGTGACGTTGTCGCGGCGGTTCATCAGGTCGTAGGTCATGAGGTTGACGTAGTCGACCGCCTCCCAGATGGCGGGGGAGGACTCGGGCGTGTAGGCGATCATGTCGCGCTCGAGACCGGGGACGGCGATGGAGAGTTCCTTGCCCGCGAGCGCACACTTGATCTCCTTGAGGAGCAGAGGGTAGGTCTCGATCTCGGAGGTGAGGTCGGAGTTGGGAACCTGCTTGTAATCGTATCCGTTGCCGCCGGGGTACTCCCAGTCGATGTCGATGCCGTCGAAGCCGAGCGTGTTGACCATGTCGACCAAGTTCTTCGCGTAGTCCTTGCGAGACTCCTCCGTGGCAGCACCCTTACGGAATCCCTCGGTGTCACCCCATCCACCGATGGCAACCAAGATCTTCACGCCGGGGTCGAAGCGGGCTCTCATCGTTTCCACGGGCTCGAACGGGGTGTAGTTCTGCGGAGGAGAGACGAAGTATGACGAGTTGGCGAAGGTCATGATGACCGTGTCAACCCCGGCGGCCACCGTTGCGTTCGGGAACGTGGTGAGGTAGTATCTGACGGCATGGTCAACGTCTGCACTCTTCACACCGTGGATCGGGGGGGGAGACTTACTGCGACACGTAAAACACATATTTGGCGCTCGCCATATGCAAGGAGGACAGGCCCAAGAGGCCTGTAGCGAGAGAGAATTTCATTATGGAGAGAAGCGGTGCGGTTGGAACGATGAATGCCAAGTGACTGTGGTGAAAGCAATAGCGAACGAAGATAGGAGAGAGTCCTGCGTACTTAAAAGAAAATCTCGAGAGGGAACTCTTCCAGACTATTTATATAGCTGTGAATTCCTCGCCCTTAGGCGCGAGGGCAATCAAGGATGACCCAGGAACTCTATCGGCTCTCGACAAGAGTTCCGCAATCTGCCCAGCGACAGGTTTTCCGTCCGTGAGCCTCGACGCTGCTCTGCGCCACTCTGCGCCGCTCTGCGCAGCGTGCCCCATCACTCCCCAAGGCATTGCAGTCCTCGGCTCCCAAATCCCTCTCCGTCCTTTGCCTGATACGTCGTAGATTCCGCGCTGAATAGGGGAGAGAAGCCGAAACGAGTACGGGGATGCCCTGTCCATCAAATTTGCAGAGCGACGGTTCGAAACTGCCGAGTCCCCCTGGACCCTCAAGGGGAGAGCAGAACAAGAAGACGATGATGAGATGATGTGGGCGTGGGCTGGAAAAGAAGGAGGATTAGACTTTCCGGCCTGGGCTGTCCAGGGATACGGGTGCTGGAGCCCGGCGGAGATGAGAGTCGAAGTCAAAAGCTGGCCGGGCTGGCAGGTTGCTGTTGAATAGGTCGTGGTAGGTAGTGTAGTAGGAGCGTAGGAGTATATTGATTCTTCTTGAATTGAAAAGTCCCAGGCGAACTAAACAACCGAAGCGAGAAACGGTGCGCTGGTGGCATTCCCAAGTTGTCAGAGTCCGGGTACCTGCTCGACTACTCCGGATGATGGTGGTGGATGAGAAGGGAAGACCGGGCACGGGCAGAAGTGGTCCTCGGTAGTTCATCTCAAACGCCTAGGAGGGCTTGGTATATGAAGGGGACTAGGTTCTAAGCACCTAGTACAACGGCTACAGCTGCAACTAGTAGTAGGTACAGCTTCTAGCAAGCCCAACAACGAGTAAGTTCAACTACTACTGTACTACGTAGTATAGTACTACGTAGCAGTAAGTTCAACTACAACCTTTTTCCAGAAGTCCGAGCTGCGGAAATCATAATACTCTTGGCCAATGGCCATCCCTCTTTTCTCCCACGGCAGTGTCCAGAGATTTACCACGTACCTACAGCCTCGCCTTAAATATTCGGGCGCTAGATCGAAGCGAATAGTAGTCGCGGAGCTGCGCATAGGGCTGGTTCAGTTACGTACAAGTGGGAGGTAGATCAATTAAAAAAGGGGTAGATCAGTTATAACGATTACTATTCGTAGCAGCTGCTCGCAACGCTACACAGCGCAACGGACCGCTTGCTAATCCGGGCTCAGGCAAGCTCTTCTCGACATTAACACCAATCTAGTAGTACTACTACTACTACTACTACTACTACTACTACTACTACTACTACGTAGTTGTAATACCTACAGCCAGGGATTCATTCCACTCTAAATCTAGGAGTAAATCACCTCTCGCAGAGCTGCACTCGGTACATCCAGCCTCCCTGTCACCGGGCATCGGACTGAGCCTTGCAGGATTCTTCTCATAACGCAGGGAACTCAGTCAAGAGTTCATCCCATGATGATTGTGGGCTCGCCGGCACCGGACCCGATACCTATCGCTACCGCCCTATCGCACCCATCCCCTACTTCGAGACTTCGCGCTTCCCTCTTCCCGCGAAACAGACCAAATCCACCACATCACATCCGTCAGGAGTGCGATCCCGTGTCGCACAGCTCTGAAATCTGAACGATTAGGTTTGATTGTGACGGAGTCCCTAGGCACATTTGATTTTGGCATAATACCAAACTTTCTCAAACGCGGCGGCGCGTGTCCGTCTATTACCAGGAGCTGCCATCACCCTTTTCGGTGTGTCTCCTTTTGGAAGGGTTGTAAAACGCTAGTTGATACATGTGTGTAGATAGACGGTGAAATACAAGTATAGCTATACTGTAAAACATAAGTTGATACATATATGTATATATAGTGTGCATATATAGTGTGTATATATATATACATATATGTATATATATCTACACGGCAAAACGGCTGAGAATAGAAAAAAGGGGAAAGGGTTAAAGCTTGAAAACCGCTGAAAAGTAAGTCTATAGATAAACGACTTCCGAAAGTCTGCAGAATGGCAGGATGATTTCTCGATGCGAGCTCGACTCGACGAGCACGATACCCCGTAGTCGATTGCGCCTTGCGCACGACGCTGCGCACGAAAACGGTGCCGGCGGCAGTCCTCGGACGCGCACGCGAACCGGTGCGCACGCCGGAGCGTGACCTCCAACACCTGAGATGCCTCGACGAGATGCCGACGGGCAGGAAGGCTGTTTGGTCTGGCGCCGTCGGATCCGAGGCAGCAGCAACGAAGGCATCGACAGGGCGAATCCTGTTGTTTGGCGCTCGCTCCGAAAGAAGGTCGCAGGGCGAAGAGCGCAGAAGGGGATCCCCTTTAGCTTTTCTCAACTTGGCTAGGTTTTAGCAAAAGGCTTTGGCTCTGGATGCTCATCTGACCAGGGACCAGTGACCAGTG